GCCTCGACTGGGACAGAAAGTCGGCAGCTTATCAAAGGTCCTTCGATATTGCTCCTGAGGATTTTTTCCTTCTTGGATCTTGAACTAAAGCATTTACAGTTTTGGCGGGTAGGTGTTTCTATGGGTTCCTATCCCTATGAGCGAAAAAAAACTGTTTTTTGTCCTACATTTGTGGCTTTGGAGATTGAAGCTGTTGATCCTTGTATGTGTTACATTAGACCTTTTAAAGTAGTCTAGATTAATATCCTCTATAGATTGTTCAGTACAGTATTTTAAAGGTCTTGACAAGTAACCCCTGTCATGTCTAGTTTGCAGTATTGTTAGTCCTGTGGCTCTCAACTATTTCTGGTAAGAGTTGACTTAGTTCTGGGATAATTTTTACCTTTCTGCCTTCTGCTTCCTTCAGAGCAGATGTGACATCCTGAAGGCGAGGTCTCCCTGCTTGGACACAGTAGTCCAGATGGGGTGTATCAGAGATTATTTGTAAAGTGAGAAATAATGATATTGAACCCTTACAGAAAGATCTACAGTAACTCCACAAATTAAATTAAATTAAATTAAATTTTTTATTCAGGAAAAGTACATACATAGTTGATTTACAAACATAATGTTGGATTTATAGATAGAACTAGTACATATAATATCTAAAGCCACTAATACGCATAGTGTTCTGGGAAAAGTCCAAATAGTCAGAAGACTGGCAAATGCTTTTTAATATCGACAAATGTAAGAGCTTGCATGTAGGGCATAACAACCCACGCCACAACTACCAAATTAATAGCATTACATTACAGCAGATTGATGAAAAAAGGACCTAACCACTTACTAAAAGTTGCACAACATGTAAAAACTAACCAAACTTGGAATAATCAAGCATACTTTTGAAAAGAAGGTAATGATTCAACTATACAATTCTCTGGTGTGCCCCCATTTGGATTACTGTATCCAAGCATGGAGACCTCAATTTCAGAAGGACATAGATGCTCAGGAGAAAATGCAACACCGGGCAACAAGTCATTCCAGATCCAAGTCATCTCTCGTATCAGAAACGGTTGAAGGCCACAGGACTAACAACTCTGCAAACCAGGCATAACGGGGAGAATCTTATTTAAACTTTTAAAATAACTGAAACTTACCAAGTTAGAGGATGTTGATTCAGACAATTCTTCAAAAGGTCAGGTGTAACACAAACAAGGAGCAACGGTTTCAAATTCAACAAGTCACACTGTAGGACTGAGAACAGACACTTTTTCACCCACAGGGTTATAAACCCATGGAACCTCATACCCGCCTAGGCATAAATGCCAAAACTCTGTTAACTTTTAAAATCTACCTGGAAAAGATCATCAAGGCAAATGGGGAGACCTTCGACAAGCCATCGGCTTCCTGTCCTCATCGAGGCCACTAGGGTTAGTGTCCCTCAGGTAAATTGGATAAATTGAACTTACGTAATTGAACTTACACTTACGTTTCCTTAAATTCAAACGTTCGTTTGACTTGGGGTTGGTTGGCATTTTTTACTACACCCACTTACTGTGCAACTTTCAATGAAATGTGGATCCTAACTCCTAGGTTCTACTTCATCAATATGCTGCACGGTAGTGTTGTTACTATGAAAGTTTTTCCAAGGACACATTCTAAATATATAAAAAAAAGTTTCAAAAACTGTTGGCATTCTTTCTAAGATCAGATATTATGTACCTCGCCCTGCCCTGGTGACACTCTATTACTCCCTCATCTATCCTTATCTCAACTATGGTATCTGTGCTTGGGGTTCTACTACCCAAAATCATTTACGTCCTCTAATTACTCAACACAAAGCTGCTATTAGGACAATATCCAACTCTGGCCCCAGACATCACTCGGTACCCCTTCTCAAATCTCTGAATATGTTAGATATTAAGTCACTGCACATCCTCTCATGTGTATTATATATATATAAAACGCTGAACTGTAATGCCAATCCTGACCTTAAAAGCTTCATTGAAGGTTGTAACAGAACCCATGAGCACCACACCAGAAACAAACACCTTTTTGATATTCCAAGAGTACGACTTAATCAAATTAGAAATGCTCTACAAATCAAGGGACCCAGAATGTGGAGTGACCTTCCCAATCATGTTAAAGATTGTACCTTTCTTAACCAGTTTAAGATAAAAACTAAGCATTACCTAATTAACTCCCTGTAACCTACCTTACCCCTATAATGTCAACCCATGTCTGCTATTTTTAAACAATGCTGTTTGTCGACCTAATTGTATTTGTGCTGCTTTTTCAGCCATGTTCCCCCCTTTTTATTTTTATTTGTTCTCAACACATTTTATACTTTAATCTCAATTAATCACAGGCACTTGGGTTGCCTGTGAGGCCTCACTGGTTGAAGGCGCTTGGCTTGCCTGTGAGGCCTCACTCATTGAAGGTGCTTGGCTTGCCTGTGATGCCTCACTGGTTGAGGTGAATAACACGTAACTTGTCTTTAATTGTTAGGACAACCTTCTTCCTCTTAACACCTCCAAAACGATTGATGCTGCTACCAGACATAGTCTTGGCCAAAAATGTTCAAAGTTACTATGAAAATAAAAAGGTTATTTAAAAAAATATTTCACTAATGGGGTGGCATTGTGGTATAACTCGAGGGACAGGAGCACATGGGTTGACCAGGCCTGGACGGGTCCACTTGGGGCAGCTATAACAGGTTATGTAGGCCGCCAGGAGGAAAAACTCACAATATTTTTGAAGGAAACTTCAGCCTATGCAAACTGTTTTTAGGAAACATATATTTGTTATTACATAATTACTAGTATTTCTTTTGTTTTTGGCTATGATAAATTGTTCTAAAATTAATGGTAATTCCTGTACCCAGGTAATCCCTCCCAACGCTCTCCTCTCTCCCAACACCACCCACCTACCCCACCCCCTCCTCCACCATGTGCCTTGAGCCACAGCCATGCGGGATTAATACGGTACGGCTCGCTGACTGGCTTTCGTATCCGGACAATTCACTGCTTGTCCGACTGACTGTCCGGATAGTGCAACATTGGCAGCAAGTTAACCGGCCCAGATTTTTTATCTGGTCAAACACCCGATTTTCCGGCTCCTATGGATATTTTGGCCGGATACTGAGATAACTTTTTCGTGTCACGAGTTTGGCCGTATAAAGGCTTTTTCTGGATATTCGAATCCTGGATAATCGAGTATCTACAGTACTGTAGTTTTTGTACTAAAAGTTAGTAAATGGTATTGATTTTTCCGACAAGGCTGGCTTGTTTGAACTGCACCTGGCATCAACATTGGTAGCTGGTGTACTGGTATTCCAGGCAGCACCTGTATATTATAAAGTATATATTTAGCTAGAGAATTTATTAAGTCTTTCAAGCAAATGAGTACAAGTCAATGAGCAGTGATTTGTGGCTCAAGCTGTGTGGAGATAGCAGTGGTCAGAGAGATTAACAAAGGTCAGATCTTTGAGGATGCGAGATCACCCCAGGTGGGCAATTGACTTGACAGGTTGAGCACATCCTGTCGCTACCTTTCGGCAAGGGGTAAGGCATGACTTGATCACGTGATACATGATCTGACATTTTGGCAGTTGCCAGGTTTTAAGAATGTCATGGCAGAGATATCAGTGGTCATCGAGTCAGTCTAGCCAGGACCTCGAAGAAGTCTAGCCAAGACCTCGGAGAAGGGAAGCCAGGACCTCAGGATTGGCTGGAGTACTCGGTGTAAAGATTAGGTCCCCAGTACCAAGTATGGACCAGCTCATGAGACAGTGTAGGTCGAACTCCTTTGGTGTGTAAGTATGGGTGAGTATGGGTATGGATGACTGATTATTCCGGGGACTGACCTAAGTAAATTCTAAGATAGGGATAGGATGTTAGTGTTATGTGGACTGGGCAGGGTTCATTGTGTGAACCGGGTTTAAGAGTCCAGGAGTATGGGCCGGTATGGTCAAGGAATGTGGTTAGCAGTAACCTGGCTTGGTATTCATCCAGGCTTAAGAGATTTTTAATCTTGTGATGGTGTGAAATAGATAATAAAATAAATGTGTAACAGTTAATATATTTCAATATTAAAATTATAGGCGATTTCAGAAGCCTATGCCTTTGTAAATTCATTGTGAATTAAGCCGATTGGTACATCTCTGAGAGATTGGTTGAGGGTTTATTAATTTATATTGATGTTCATAATTCTGTTTTTTAAATAATCACAACATCTAGTGGCAGTAGTCATATCATCAGATGTCAGTGTTTACATCTTCTGGTGACATTGTGCACAACTCCTGAAACCTGCACTGGTAGCTCAAGTACTGGTATGCTAGACAGTACCTGGCAACCACACTGGTAGCTCAAGTACTGGTATGCTAGACAGTACCTGGCAACCACACTGGTAGCTCAAGTACTGGTATGCTAGACAGTACCTGGCAACCACACTGGTAGCTCAAGTACTGGTATGCTAGACAGTACCTGGCAACCACACTGGTAGCTCAAGTACTGGTATGCTAGACAGTACCTGGCAACCACACTGGTAGCTCAAGTACTGGTATGCTAGACAGTACCTGGCAACCACACTGGTAGCTCAAGTACTGGTATGCTAGACAGTACCTGGCAACCACACTGGTAGCTCAAGTACTGGTATGCTAGACAGTACCTGGCAACCACACTGGTAGCTCAAGTACTGGTATGCTAGACAGTACCTGGCAACCACACTGGTAGCTCAAGTACTGGTATGCCAGTCGGTACCTGGCATCTACACTGATAGCTTGTGTACTCATACCCCAGAGAGCACCTGACATCCACATTGGTACATTAACTTAATGGAATAATATAAAGGTGAGATAAATATGTTAAACCAGCCAAGACAAGAGTATTGCATTACACATGTATTATTTATTATTAGTTACATTAATATGTTTAAGAAAACCTGTCAAATTTGCCGAATGGTAAAATGCATAAATCATATAACGATGAAATTAATAATATATGGAAAATGAACAGAGTAAGACAATTTTTCAAACATTTATTTATTTATTAATTCTATGGCAGTGCACTGTGGAAGACACACATTATAGAATGAGGATTCATTAAAGTCACTTAGAGGCTGCCATTTAGCCCATTCACTGGCTTGTAGTAGTGCTGCATTTGTAGCTTCACCCCAAAAGTGTGGATCCTGTCAATGAAAAAGAAGGCCAGTGTTGAATGTAATGAAATGCCTCCTCCTGGTTAGGCCTCGGTGGCTCCCTATCTCCCTGAGGTTGCTTCACACTACAAGTCACATCAGCCAAAGAAGTCTTTAATAACCTACTGGAGGATCAGTGGCAGAACCCAGCTCCCTCACAGAGGCACAGGGAGGTGGAATTCTTTAATGATCATCTACACCAAAGGAAATATCCAGAAAGTAAGTGAAGCAATACAGACAACTATCAGATTCCTAGCAAGACGGGCCATGGAGCAACAATAAGATTCTGTAAATTATTTACTTGGTAAGAACAATAGTTTTAAACCCCAAGTAATGACCGACTGCCGACAGGTGACAGCACTGCTGGGAGCTCCTGGCATTCCAAGTTATCCACATTAGCCCAGATCTAAAGAACCACAAACCTGCAACACAGATGACACCTCATGCCACTCCAGTGTGTATGTACAAGAAAAGCTACGACAAACTCCAATGAAGTACAGTGCAGCCCCCACTCTAGCAAACCCTGCTCTAACAAATTCCCAGATGGTCAGAACAAGTTTTCCAGTGGAACATACACATGTTCAATTAAGCGAGGACTGTCCAAGTTTTCACCAAGTTTGAGCATCAACTGATGGTTGTGTTATTATTCATGATGCACCTAATCAAGATGTAAACAATAGTACAGTGCTTAGAAACATGCAATAAATGTTAAATCTGACTTGAAACTTTACAAATTATATTATAAAATACTAATATTTAAACATATGCACACAGAACAGCCAAAAGCAAATACACTGTACAGGTATTATTAAGCCACCACTACACGTGTTCAAACACTAATGGTGGTTGTTTGGCTTGTGTCAATTATTTGCACTGCACTATGCCTTTATAATGGATTTACGCCTTTATAATGGATCCGTCTTCATTTAATTAAGTTCAGTTCTTATTCACTGTATTGGGTGTAGAACGAGGGTGGTCTGGAGTCTTCCTGGCTGGCAGACTGCCCTTTCTTTTCTTTGCGGGTTTGGCACGGGTTTTGTCAGACCCACACACTTGAGTGGCGAGAGGTTTTGTTGGTGTTGCAGGTGTTCTTAGGGGGGCTCCTAGGAGTTCCTCAATGAGTGCCTCTTCACCCCTGCACTTTCTCGTGATGTGGGTCTGGTGCAGTTACATGCTCAGGTTCTCTCTCTCTCAGCTGTCTTGGCGGCAGATGACTATCGAACTCGTGGTCATTTGGCGTCTGTCTTGTGCTACTTTGGTCTGCTGGAGCTATCCTCAGACTGTCTTTCAGAGGATGTGGCAGTGTTGAGTGGGGGGGAGGGTCTTCAGCCGGGGTTCCGGTTTCGGCTGCTCTGCTTAAGCTTTTTGCATTGATCCTCCGGGAGGCAGTGTGTGTTTTTACCTCTCGTCTCGCGTGTCAGCAGGCCATCCTAGCTCTCTTCAGATTCTGCTTGGGCCCTGGTTTTGCAGTCCTCATCTCTGTTCTGTCCCCTGTTATTTCCGGAGGACTGTGTTGCTCAGGTTCTGTCGGCGGCTTCATCCCGACCCACATCATCCAACACTATGACGTGGGTCAGGATGATAAAAATCACCCAGATCCACATCACGAGCTACGACCCCGAAATTCTCAGATGCTTCAGGACCAGAAGTGGGGGGAGGGGGGTTCAGAAGAAGGGTAAACTACACTTAATGAAAATAAGTTTCAGCTCCTGAGCTATGGAAATAAGTTCCAGCTCCTGCGCAATGGAAAATAACGAAAATGTAAACACAGAAACCATATATCAAATGGAATCAAATTACACTATAGAACGAAAAGGCAATGTAAAGAATCTAGGAGTAATCATGCTGGAAGACCTTACCTTTATCGAAGACAAAGTAGCTGTCACAAATGCAAGAAAACTGACAGGTTGGATAACAAGGACCTTCCAAACAAGGGATGCCATATCAATGATGATACTTTTCAAGACACTAGTGCTCTCTAGTGTGGAATATTGTTGCACACTAACAGCCTCATTTAGAGTCGGAGAAATTGCTGACCTAGAAAGCATGCAGATATCCTTTACCGCTAGAATCCACTACATAAGTCATCTTAATTATTGGGAGCGATTAAAAGTTCTGAATATGTATTCTCTAGAGTGCAGGCAAAAGAGATACATAATAATCTATACGTGGAAGATATTAGAGGGACTGGTTCCAAATCTGAATATGGAGATTAAATCACTTGAAACCAATAGACATGGCAGGATGTGCAAAATAGCCCAATTGAAAAGCAGAAAGGCAATAGATACGCCGAGGGACAACTGCATCAACGTCAAGGGGCCAAGACTTTTCAACACTTTCCCGCTACACGTAAGGAGCATAACTGGCTGGCCTCTCACAGTGTTCAAGAGCTAACTTGACAAATACCTCCAAAGAATACCTGATCAACCAGGCTGTGATACATACATCAAGCTGTGAGCAGCCGCAGCCAACAGCCTGGTTGACTAGATGAGCAACCGGGAGGCCAGGTTGGAGACCGAGCCACGGGGCTGTTGATCCCCAGAAACCACACAAGGTAGGTAGGTAGACCCAACAGGCAGCATGGTGGAGGTAGAAGGAATGACTGTCACCACGTGGGATGGATGGTGTGCAACCCTGAAACTCGCGCAAAGCGAAAGCAGGTACAGGGAAATATCCATGGGACCACCTAACAAATCAAGAAAATCAATCAACAAATCACCCCCAGGCAAGGGGGTCCTGGTAGCCTGGTGGATAGCGCGCAGGACTCGTAATTCTGTGGCGCAGGTTCGATTCCCGCACCAGGCAGAAACAAATGGGCAAAGTTTCTTTCACCCTGAATGCCCCTGTTACCTAGCAGCAAATAGGTACCTGGGAGTTAGTCAGCTGTCATGGGCTGCTTCCTGGGGTGTGAGTGTGGTGTGGAAAAAAAAATAGTTAATAATCGGTTGATTGACAGTTGAGAGGCGGGCCGAAAGAGCAAAGCTCCACCCCCGCAAACACAACTAGGTGAATACAACTAGGTGAATACCTAACCTACAGGAGATTTCCAGGCCCCAAAAGAATTGATCAAACAGGACACCCAGGCATTGTGACACAATGCCAGACCTTTAATTGAAGGGTGTCGCATAAATTTTTGAGAATAGGAATATAGAAATAGCGAAGTAAGCCAGCACAGCCTGTTTCACCCAGCTGCGAAGACCCACCTCAGCACTCTTGGAGTGTGCAGTGCACCCCAGGTCAGCCAATGTCACTCCTGACCCAAGTTAAGACAGGAAGTTCCAAGACACTTACCTCACACTAGGCAAGGGCCATGACAAGCAAGGAGGACCTCTAAGGAAGAGGCTCCCAAACCCTCTGGGAAGCGAACCCTGGCAGTGCAAGGGCAGCACCAGGAATCAGACAGGGAAGAGAACCCTGTGCACATGCAGCTCCAAGCACTCTTAAAATACAGCTCATATTACACTACAAAGTGTAAGGACATGCCAACAAGGTAAAAAATCACAACTCAGCTGTAACAGCAAAACATCAGAGCCCAAGTAGCATAGAAGCAACGAGGCACACACACACACATCAGCATAGATCTGAGGGTGAAATAGCCAGCTGACTGTGGGTTGCCTCCTTCCTCCCCACAAACGAGTGGGGAAGGTGGGGTTATCTTGAGGTTATCTTGAGATGGTTTCGGGGCTTAGCGTCCCGTGTCCCGGTCCTCGACCAGGCCTCCTTTTTGTTACACACCCTTTTTGTTTTGTTACACATTCTTTTTGTTATCACACAAAGGAAGCAGCTATGGGCTGCTTCCTTTTTGAAGCAGCCCGTAGCAGCTGTCTAACTTCCAAGTACCTATTTACTACTAGGTAACAGGGGCATCAGGGTGAGAGAAACATTTTTGCCCATTTGTCTCCACCTCCACCGGGAATCGAACTCGGAACCTCAGGACTATGAATCCGAAGCGCTGTCCACCCAGCTGTCAGGCGCACCTGACGAGCTTGCACTAGTTTGGAGAGATTTCTATCATTTCTTACATACTAGTAGTTCTTTTGGCAGCTTTCGGTCACCATTAAAAGCCAGCAAGGGTCTGTTTTGTCTCGCTGACTTTCAGGTTGCTTCCCAGTTTGTTGAGTTAATAAATATCAGCACTCCTTGTGCCTATGTGAGGGGGGGGAGGGGGAGGTGCAGATTTTGGCTCTGATTCCTAATAGGCCTATAGAACGCTGTGGTTGATGAGACCTAGTTGATGGCCACTATCAGCGCTAGTAGCTTCAGGAAGCCTCTTCCCCCCCAGAAAACCTTCCGCAGAAGGGATCAGAGACCAGGTAAAGTTGAAGGGCACCCAGGGGACCCTCCTCAGGCTCTCTGTCATCTCCCAGAGGTCACACATGACTACCCCAGAGCAGAACCATATTCCATGCCTGATGGTGGGACAGATAGGAAGGCATCCACCCATGGTATAGGAGTGGAGCTTGGCAAACCCCCCATCCTTTCCCTGAGAAGCAGAAAGGTAACTCTGAAACCCTAACAGGAAGGAACAGTTCAACAGTCTCCACCTATGACGTGGATGGAACAAACCTAGGAGGCAGCCGAGCTACACCCAGAGCTAAATCCTGCCCAGCCAGAAAACATTCAGATGTTTCAGGGCCAGAAGCAGCTGGGGAGGAACAAATGTAAGATGAACCACACCTGACAAAATAGGGGGAGGAGGAGAAAGCAAACTTTGAGCAGGCAGGGGAGCCGGTCGGCCGAGCGGACAGCCCGCTGGACTTGTGATCCTGTGGTCCTGGGTTCGATCCCAGGCGCCGGCGAGAAACAACGGGCAGAGTTTCTTTCACCCTATGCCCCTGTTACCTAGCAGTAAAATAGGTACCTGGGTGTTAGTCAGCTGTCATGGGCTGCTTCCTGGGGGTAGAGGCCTGGTCAAGACCGGGCCGCGGGGACACTAAAAAAACCCCGAAATCATCTCAAGAAGGCAAATCACCAACCCCTCCAACTCCGAGTCCCTAAACACCAAAGGGTGGCTAACTCCAGAGTATCCATTCAAGCACCCTGCCACAAACAACACATGCGAGCTACCTGAAAAGCCTCTGTCTAGAGGCTTTTCAGCTAAAATAAAGGACCAATGGACACAAATGCTACAGGCCTCAGGATTGAAAGTACTGTACAGTATCACTGAATGAAAAGGAAGCATAGCGCAGACAAAGTGTCTATCGATATGTAGTAACACCAATGGACATCCTTCAATCACTCATGTTGTGAGTGTGGACTAGGCGGATCGATCCATTTCAGGTCACATCCAAGACCAGTGGAAAGTTACCAGAGCCTAAAGGCAATCACCAAGCAGGATCCTCCTCAGGCAATAGGAATGCTCACCAAGAGAACTGACACCTAACACAGACCTGAAGATAAATGCAGCTGCATTGGACATCAGCCATATTAACAAGCAAGCAAAACCCTAGTGCACCCCACAATACTGATACTCTGACTGCCCCCAACCACAGGGCCTTGCAAAGGAGTCAAGGACTTGTGTGCTACCCAAGACAAGGCACTCTACACAGTAGCCTGGCCTCTCAGGGGCACAGTCCCCAAAACACCAGAGAAGATACTCTGTCAGAGCAGGGATGATGCTAAGAAGCATTTAGGGAAGGGTCACTCTAATCATAAGCAGCTTGTAGCAAACTAAAGTACCTGCAACAAGTGAGGCACGTAAATACACCCATAAAACAGACACTATTCTTAAGACACAATACACATGCAAATCACCCTATTAGACAAAGTCTAAGGGATTATCTATACTTATCTTATACTTATCAAAAACCACCATTCACCCCCTCCCCCAGAAAAGACATCCTGGAACAAAGAGGGAGCACAAAGAAGAAGACAACAGAAAGAACCAAAGTAGAAGCGAAGAAGGCTCTGGAGGTGAATGAGCCGCGTGGAAGAAAAAGAACACCGAGGACAGCTTCCAAAATAGTGAAGAAACCAATTACCAAAAAGCTCACCAAACCCATGGAAGGACATGTTGACAGCCATTTCATACAAAACAAAAATGAATAATGTCAAGTATATCCTCATAAAGACAGTGAACTTTGTATGAAGAGTCTTATCCATAGACAGTCCAACTGCTTTTTGTAAGAAAATGAGTACCCTCATGAGCTGCCATAGCATACTGTCATGTTCAACGGTTAAGTCAGGAAGCTGCACTAAAGCACTTTTAAAAACTCATCCTGACCAGCTTTGAAAGCAAAAGATCCTGTTCAAACATTACATGACAAACCTTTTTTCTAGGCCAGGTGCCTACCTTGAGGTTACCTCGAGATGATTTCGGGGCTTAGCATCCCCTCGGCACAGTCGTCGACCAGGCGTCCAGCAATGAGGAGGCCTGGTAGACGACCGGGCCACGGGTACGCTAAGCCCTGAAATCATCTCAAGGTAACCTCAAGGTAGGCACCTGGAATTATGTGGATTATTTTTCCAGTAGCTAATATAGAATGAAATGCAATCAAGCTAAAAATGAGAACCGATGGTGCCATTCAAGAAATTTTTTTACCTCATTTTTTTTTTTTTGTATTGGCTATAACTGCCATAAAGGCACAATGGGGATTTATGATTGTAAATATTATACCAAGGATTAAAATGATATTCAAAGTGCTACTTTGTTTTTATTATAAATAACCATACAGCTAAAATGCAGTTGATAATACTCACCACCACAAGCAGGTAAGTTTGAGTTGCGCTCTTGCACACACCCATAATTCCCTTAGACGACACGTCAGTACTGCCACCCATCATAACCGGTGACCCTCTAATCTTGAAGTGATCAACCAAGCTGTTTATATTTTCATACAATTCTTTACCACTATTTATATGAATAATTTTGCATGGAACATCATAAACAGTATCTAAAATATGGCAAACCTGTAAAAAAATGAATAATACATTAGAAAATATATATTTTGTAATTATTATTACAGTATACAGTAGAGTGCATATATAGTATTCTATGATAAACTATATTTCTGGAGGGAGCCCCTTGTGGCTCCCTGAAGCTACTGATGGGATCTACTTGTATCAGTACTGTGTGTGCTATACAAGTAGATCCCATCAGTCATGGAGTTCTATTGTCTCCCTCACAGAGGGACAAGAAGCAGTGGTATTTATGATAAAATTTGTATAAATTTAGTCATGTCTGCCACCACTGAGGAAGGCACTCGGAAAGTCAGAGAAACAAAATAAACCACTGCTGGCTTCAGATGAGACCGCAGCCTCAAGAACTGCCACAAGAACTCCCCCAACAATGTAAACAAATGATTGAAACTTCATGAAACTATAGCAAGCTCATTCTATCCCCACCTTCCCTTTGTTCGGGGAGAGGAGGAAGGTAGCCCACAGTCAATCAGCTGCTCCACTGTCAGTTCTAATGGCAGTTGTGTGGCATGGTCACCCTCTCTGCTGTTCTAGCTCCAGTGTTCTGTATTCAGCTAGGTGGTGCTTTTGTCTTTGTGGCTGTTCCTTTCCTCTCTGGTGCAGCATGAGCTGCATGTGCTCAGGGTTACCTTTCCTGTGTGCTCCTTAGTGCTGCCCTTGCACTGCCTGGGTTATCTTCCCTGGAGTGTTCAGGGATCACCCTTTTAAAGGTCCTCCTCGTTTGTGGTGGCACTCACCCTGGGCGAGTCAGTTGTCTCTGGCTTTCTGTCCTGCATATGGTTGGGAGTACTGGCTGGCAGGGCACACTGGGGTTTGCAAGCTGCACTCAGTGCACCAAAATCAACCTTCTCAGCAGCAAATATTCTGTTGTTTAAAAACAGAACTTGTAGACTTATATAGGTCTGGTGTAGCATTTCAGTGTCTGGGCTTCTTGTAGGGTTACTACTCCCTGCAGGTCCTGGAACTTTCCTGTGGGTTTGGTGTTCCCCTATGGAAACCCCCCCTCCCCCCTGAACCCTCTGTCACTTCAAGCGAATTAGAGGGATGTGGGTCATCCATGCCATGTGACAATGCTCTTTTTTTCTGCCTCTGCTATGCTGTCTATTAGGTTGGTGACACTTTCAACCATGTGTCACGTGGGGTTTCCTCCCATCACGTTACTCCCCTTTCTGACCCTCCCAATTAGGCCAGGGCATATCAGGCAGAAGCCATTTTACAATTTAGGTTTTCTGTGTTGCAGCGGTTTAGGTTATGTCCAGTTGGATGTCACAGAGCTGTACCGTTTAATATTTAGGGACCTAGAGTTGGAGGTGTTAGTTAACTCAACCTTGGCTCTGCCCACATCTCCTCTTCCTTCCCTCTCGAGCATGGTTTGCCCTTTCTCTGATCCTCCCCTGCTTTTGGACCCAAAGCATCTTAGGGTTTCAGGGTTGGTGAAGGGTAGAGTTCTGGATGTGGCTTGGTCAGCCCCAGGGTTTGTCACTTCCGATTTGGGCACGGAGGTAGTTGAGCCTCACTGTCCCACCAAGGTTTCTGGCTGGGATTTCCTCATAGCCAGCTCTTTCTTCCCTTGGACTGCTTATCTATCCCAAGCAGTGGATACGGATGATGGCTCTGCCCTGGGGCCTTCGGTGGCAGCTTCTGTGGCTTGGGAGGAGATGGATATGGGTCCCATTTAACTCAAAATGGTTTCTCATGCCTTCTATGGAGGGTCTTCTGTTGCAGGGGGAGTTTTTTTTATCCCCATCCCTGTATGTATTTGATTTGGGTGCGGCTTCTCCCAGGGTCCAATTCCGGATGCATTTGGGCCCTATGGGTTCATCCTTCTGGAGATTTCCCTCCTTTCGGGTTTCCCCGCTGAGGTGGCTCGGGTGGCCCTTTTGACATGCACTGGGGCCTCGACTTACGAATTTAATCCATTCCCAGAGATGGGTAGTAAGTCGAAAACTTTTAAGTCAAAACGAATTTTCCCATAAGAAATAAAATAAATTGAATTAATCCTTTACATGCCCCAAATATATTAACTAAAAAAACAGCATTGAATGTAATGATATGACATTTTTTGGGCGAGCCCCAGAGACTCCCCGGCAATCCACCTTCCCTCCGGTCGGTGGTTTTCGCATCTTTTGATATTCAGCCTCGGAACTGCAGGGTGGATCGCCAGCGTGGGGTCTGGGGCTCCCCCCTACCCCCTCCCGAGGAGAGGGGGGGAACTGCGCAGACATGCGGAGACAAAAAATTATGATATGCAGCATATCATAATTTTTTATATGCTGAAAAATAAAATTTGCCAGCATATCAAGCAGATAAATTGCAAAATTTATGTTCTTATTGATGAATCAACAAGCCTGAGCATTAAAACAACCTTGATAGTTTACTTGAAATGAGAAAGTGATAAAGAATGTAATCCCCATTTCATGTTCTTAAATCTAATTGAACTACCTGATCAGAAAGCAGCAACTACTGTATTGCTAGGCATCTATTGAGCTGTCTCAATTATCATGGGGTTGATAACTTACATTTGAAACAGAATCTTGTAGCATTTGCTAGTGATGGGTCAAGTGTCATGCTTGGTGTCAAATCTGGTGTTGCAACAATTCTCAAGGAACATTACCCTGATATAATAATCTGGCTCTATCTTAATCACAGATTAGAACTTGTAGTAGGTGATTCAGTGAGAGAAGTTCATGGAATTAAACATTTTCAAGCATTTATGGACAAATTGTACTCAGTTTACATCTAAATGTGCTTTTCAACCTGAACAACAGATTTGCACAATAGACCGTGTTCTGAGCAACAGGTGGGTGGCCAGCTCGTTTCGAACAGTTTCAGCAGTGCGGACAAATTATGAAGCACTTTGTTTTCATTTTGAAAAAGCAGTGTAATATGAAACAAGATTAGGAAGTGATAATAAAACCTATGAAGGTCTGTTGAAAAAGCTAACTTCAGAACAGTTTCTATTGGATTTAGCTCTAATGTATGACACGTTGCATGAACTTGGTTTACTGTCAAGAGTGTCAACAGAAATGCACTAATTTAATTGTGTATGTAGACCAACTGATTCAACAGAGCATAAAGTCACTGCATGGACTAAAAGAGAAACCTGGCACTAGAACTTTAGGAGCTCAAAAGGCAATTGAAAAGGGGAAGTTTGGAGGAATTACCATAACAAGCAACAAGAAAATTGTCTCCATTAATTATTGACAGTTTCTTACTAGTCTTGTGAACAATTTGCAGCACCGTATGTTCATGACAACATCCATGAAAGACTCTCAAACTTCTGAACCTCAAGGCATGTATAAATCACTGCTATGTGAAATGCATGTGTTCTTGAAAAAAGATTACTGGCCTGATGTACCACCTAATTACGGAGAAGCTGAAATATTCTCTCTGTAAGAGGTTTAAGCTTTCATTTTGCTCTGCACTAAATGACTATAGAGACCATGTGGAGGATCACAGATGCCACATCCCCCTAGACACCCATTACTGAGCTGTTTACAAGTTATTCCTATTAGTACTGCTGAGTGTGAGAAAACTCAGGTTCAATCACATGAACTTAATAACAACAACATGCTCAGGAATTCTCATAAATCATGTATCAGCACTTACGTTTGTTAAACTACATGGACCTCCTCTAGCTCAGTGGAATCCTGAGCCATATGCCATATCATGGCTGCAGTACCACAGATCGGCAGATGACAACTGGACAACAGTTGCTTCACAACCCTGAAAACATCTCATATTTGACCCCTTTGTGGAAACTATTGTGAAACTTCTCATCTCTATTTTGTGAGCACTAAGTGTTTTAACTTCTTAAATTTATAAATACATGATTGATGTTTTTTCTTTATTTGTTTGATACTTGCTTGATGGGGTTCTGGGAGTTCTTCTACTCCCAAAGCCTGGCCCGAGGCCAGGCTTGACTTGTGAAAGGTTGGTCCAACAGGTTGTTGCTTGGATCAGCCTGCAGGCCCACATATCCACCACAGCTCGGTTGGTCTGGCACCTCTTGAAGAAAATTATCTAGTTTTCTCTTTAAGGAGTCCACGGCTGTTCTGGCAATATTTCTTATACTCGCTGGGAGGATGTCGAACAACCGTGGACCTGTGATGTTTATACAGTGTTCTCTGATTGTGCCTATGGCATCCCCATGATAATTATATTTTATAATAATTAGTGAGTACAAATACAAAATACTTAATTGTGTGACAGATATAGAAACAGGATAGGAAATGACAGGCTTTTGTCAGGCCCACCAGAACTCAGATGTGCATGGCTTGGGTTCTTGTGGCCTCTCTATGTTTACTTCATGTTCAGGGTTTGGCCTACCTTGACAATTGGCTGGTGGGGGCTCCCAACCAACCCACATGTCTGCTAGCCAGGAACCTACTTCTTTCTCATCTTGTCGGGTTTGGGTTCCTGGTGAACCAGCCCAAGTCCCAGATTCTCTGTCCCAGGTTCGAACTTGGCTGGACCTTGTTTGGCTTGTTGGGGTTAAAGGCTAAAGTTTCCCCCACAGTATCCTCTTACCTGAAATCAGGTTTTTCAACTGCTTCAACTTCCTCATTCTCTTTTAGATTATAACACATTGCATACTTTATTCCCAAAAGGGCATGATCACATTTGCATAAGGGGGAAGGTATTGAATGTCAAATATCTCTTCATCTTTCATAGTGAATATCAAATCCAGCATGGAAGGAACTTTCCTCATCCTCATAGCTTCTGTAACATATTAATACACATCTCCAGGATGAGGTTTACGAATCTACAGGTCCAAAAGTCCTCCATTCTAGCTTTATAGGCCTCCTAGTCTATGGAATTCAAGTTGAAGTCACCAACTACCAGCAGTCATGATTAATCTTTATCCGCTATTTGCTATAATCTCTCTCATAGATTGTTATGAGGCCCTCTTATTTATTGTCCATGTGTTACATGACAGAGGACTGTAAGCGTTTATGATTATCAGTTTATCGTCCTGATTACAAATCTCCAGTGTTATTATGTTAACTTCTCATGAATTAGCAATCATTATTTCATTTAGCAATCATTATAACACCTTTAGGTGTTCTTTCACCAGCATGGCAATGCCTCCACCTTTCCTAATTTTTTTGTCCCGTCTACAAATTGAGGCCAAAATTGTCAGTACTATAGTGTCAAAAGTGTCACATGATAAAGAGTATTGGGAAGATATGACACCATGGGGCATAGCTCTCATTTTGTAACTACACTTACGTAATTACATGCAGCAAACACAAAGTTGTAAATAATAATTTGCATTAAGGGGGATTGAGCTAGTTCTGAGTAAACCAATTGTTTTGAATGAATTTCTTGCAGAGGCATTTGCTATTTCAACAATTTGTTTTCTATGAACCTTGCAGTTGTCTGCATTTCTTCACTGATGTTTCTGCATGCTTTTCCCAAGTTCTGGCTCTAGTCTCCGGTAGGTCAAGCAGGACTCTTATGACTGATATGACCCAGTAGTGGGAGGCTATCTCAGCGAGACAGCTCGAAGTAGCTACCAAGGGGCTCCCCAGAACGAAGAAACACAACAATAATAGAAAGAGACCCAACCCACAAACAAATTAAAATTACAAAAGAAGCCCAAAACAATACTGTACCTCAACACTGCCTATCCACTGTTTAGAGTTCAGAAAATCCTTTTCTTTATCTCCAATCTCCACAAGAATTTCTTGTATGCGATGGTGGGACGGTACAGGTGGTAAACTGATTGAAGTTGCTTGTGACTTCCGTAGCTGACCTCGTATCCACGAGCACAAAGTCATGAGTGTCCTATATCCGCAGCCCCAGCCCTATGAGATTTATTATATCAGTTGCAATACTGTAGAAATCAAAGTATAACCAGTGTCAATGACCCACTTATTTCCCCGTCAGACATGCAACTATAGTCATTCATTCACAGACCCATCATATCCACAACTGTAAGTACAAAAAATCAGCGTTGAATGTAATGAAAAGCCATTTTCTGGGTGAGACTCGGAGGCTCCCCAGAGCTATACTGGGCTGATGTGTATATATTAGATTGTGGCACCAGCCACAATTCCATAACAAACTACTGCTGGTCAAAAATTTCAAACCAAAAACCGAACTAGCAAGCAGAACTTCCCAATCAAAAATAAGCAAACAAGCATGACGTCACCACAGCTGCCGTGCATGTGTCTATGCAATCCCCCCCTACCCGGGAGGGGGACGGGGGTGGGGGGGGGAGGTGCCGGCACCTCTCCTCAGTTCAGAGGCTGAATAACAAAAACGCAAAAAACTGCCGACCGGAGGGAGGGAAGGATGCCGGGAAGCCTCCGGGTCTCACCCAGAAAATGGTGTTTCATTATAATCAGCGCTGGTTTTCTGTGGAGAGCCCCTTTGGCTTCTCTGAGCTACCTAACCAAGGATAAAGAAGAAAAGGGACTTACCAGGGAGGCAGCCATCACTCGCTACTCAACTCGAAGTCGAGACAACTGGCTGCAACCTGCGACCCAAGTCTATACACGCCCGAGAAGAACCAGGAACATTAATGCGGTAACATGCAGCCCAGGACATATTACCGAAAACAGCAGCCAAAGCCGTGAACTTACGAATGTCGTGAGCACGGGGATAGACCATAGGCTGGCTGGACACCCGAACACACCAGACAAGGTAGGCTCTGGTTGTGCAAAGGAAGTGTTTAGCGGGCACACAGAAGAGAACCCTGAGCACATGTAGCCCGAAATGCCAAATAAGCCAAGCTCACACAATAAGCTGGGATCAAAACATGCACATGAAGCCTACACTAAAATGGAAAACAATACTGTACACAAAGCAAATGGCCCCAACAGAAGAATGAAGTCCGAGGATGGCCAGCACTGAGCATAAAGTTTCAGGGCTTGCCCGTGAGCTTGCATGACCAGACGCAGGTATGATGACACCAACATCAGGAACAGAATTGACTTGGGGAGTTAGCTGGGAGCTGGGGGCCAGGTGGCCTGGATGTGGTAATGGGTACTAACGAGTTTCGAGCTCGTTTGAGTGAATCCCATGCTCCATGTGACTTGTTTGTGGAAGTTGTTTAAGTGTTTTTGAGGCTTAAAGTGAGGTGGCAGATTGTCACCTACTACCTGTGCCTCTTATGAGGCCAGATTCTAGCTTTGGTCTCTGGTCGGCCAAACAGAACGATCTACGACTAACGTGACCTTTCAGTGTGAAGCTATCTCAGGAAGACAGCTCCAGGGAGCCACAAGGGGCTCCCTTCAAAAATATTAGAAAGTTCTCTTTTGCAAACAGAGTGGTAGACGGTTCAAACAAGTTTAGTGAGGTGGTGGTCAATGACAAAACCATCGGTAGTTTTACAATGCATTATATGACAGAGTACTTGGAAGGCAGGACACTCATGACCATAGCTCTTATCCTATAACTACACTTTGATAGTTACACTTAGATAATTACCCTTGGGCACCTAGGAAAATCAACCCAAAGTGCATGCAGCTCTAGATGAACAATTTCTCAAGAGGCCACACAAGAAGTGAGGCACTGAAACATACCTCACACGCATACTAAAAGAAGAAACAAATACTGGAACATAAACAAATGGACACCCACAGGACAGAACCCGTAGGATTACCTTCACTTATTTGGAAAATATCCGGGACCCAGTGGGCACAGGTGACCCAACTCTTCACTTCACAGTACCAGGCAAATGACTTTAGAGATACACCAGATGAGCCAATAGCTCTGGGTGTTGCACCCTGGTGGTGGTGGGCAAGTGCAACTAAAGACTGAACTACTGTTTGTCTTGTATTCTGTTATAAAACTTTGACCTTGCTCTTGTCCATTTTGTTTTGCACTACCTTTCTAGTGACTATTTTCTCATTTTCTCATGGTTATCTAATATCCTGTGCTAACTGCAACTGTGTGTGGGAGGGGGGGGACCATTTTGGCCTCTGGCCCCTAATAAGCTATTAATGACTCTAAAGAGCTTGGTGTGATTTGATGTGTGGGGCCATCCAAGTCATTAACAACAGTTAACAACCACTGAACCATCCAAGAAAACCCAATAATTTGGATTTCTGTACGAATTAAGTGATTATGAACTCAGACTATTTTAAACAAATTACGCAGAAATCAAGACTTCTGATGCTCAACTTCATGCACTCAAATTGTACTAGAAATATTTACCCGGTCATCAAATCCATCACAACCATAGTGGTAATAGAGGTAATCTCCAACAACATGATATGCTTCTGACACTTCTGGTGGAAGTTGTAACCCTCTGTGAATGTTTGGTAGAAGGTCACAGATGTAATCACGTCCACCTCCCATTTGATCTGAAAAAAAGCTAACATCAGATCTAACATATTATAATTTTAACCGTTACATAAAATAATTTCATCAAAACTGATAACTTGTCTTTGTTACTGCTAGTGACAATTAGTCTACTGTGCAACACTCTTATAGCATGAAAGCAGCAGTAGCATGAAAGAAATTACTGGACACAAAATATTTCAATCAGATCACCAAGTGCATAGTTTGAAACAGCTACAGTTTTCCCCTAAAGTTTGTATATAATAATTACATGAAAAATATAAGATCCCGTTAGAATTTATATTGTGGTCAGTTATGTGGCTATCAAAGGGTTACAAGGCTTCTCGTGTCATCAAGCATTAGACTACCATGCTCATGCCCAGCAGGTAAAACAGTGCAGGGCTGGAGGAAAGATCTCCCACAGGACTGATCCGAGTTCTTACAATAAATGAACTTAGTGCGTTGGTGTGTATTTCCAGTTCTCACCAACCAACCATGCATACCGACACTGACAGAATGGAAATAGTAACACAGGGTGGCAAAACACTGGTAGCATCAAGGGATATGTCCTGCCTCAAAAACTCAAGTCACCATGCCACATCGTTCATGGTGTGGCCGTGCCATATGGCAGACCTAAACATGCCACACTGTTCAAGCCACCACATGACAGGTTTTAGCCCACCAATCATGCATCAGCCTTTTTATTGATTTAAAAGTATATTATCGTACCAGCCCAAGATCCTGCATCAGTTTCTAAGCCCACCAGAGAACCCACCCCTGCTCCAGGCTCCTAAATTACAAAGTGTAATTATCTAAATAAAGCTACAGGATGAGAGCTATGCTCCTGGTGTCTCATGTTCCCAGTACTCTGGCATATGATGCTTTGAAACTACTAATAGTTTTGGCATCTACCACCACCTCACCTGACTTGTTCCAACCATCTGCAAATGAGAATATTCCATTAATTTTTTTTGGGGGGCAGCTTTGTTTCCATCGTTTGAGTCTATGACCTCTTGTTCTTAAAGATACAGGTTTCAAGAATTCTTATAAATTTTGTTGATTCTTATTATTATTGTGTATGTATGTATGTTTGAATGTGATATATATCAATGAGAAAATAAATTGGAACAATGAGGTGATTCAAACCTATGATCAGGGTACTCCCAGTTGTACATCTTATAAACTTAAAGAAAATTGTAGTCTGTTTATTTAGTTAAAATTACTTCTGCTGTTCTGTTGCAATTTCTGCTGTACCATTCAATATGTAATTATTTTCATTTTTTATTTTCCTATTTCAGTTCAATTCATGCTTTTGATCTCAATTAGTTTTCAATGTTAGTACAGTATTGAAGTTTTTTACCACATCTTGCCCAAAATGCTGTGCGCTCTATCTAGAAATCAAACATTCTGTTTGTAACTCATTTTGTATGTACGGTGTATGTACTTTTACCTGAATGAACATTATTGTTATTATTAGTAGTACTGTAGTATTCTATAGGCAGAGCAATTTATAACATTGTTGTGAACAAATCCACAAGGGCTGTGATGAGAGTTCAACATTTTAACCATGTCGTGGCGCAATTGACTAAAGCGCTTCTGGGATCATCCCGGACTCGAGTTCGAACCCTCATCACGGCCCTTGTGGATTTGTTCATTAGATGTATCATACTATTGTGATTTCTGTGTGTATGGACATTAGTGTACTAGTTACATTTTTTATTTTACATTAACTTCCTATAAATATACAAGGGTAGTGAGGTAGTTATAGTACTGTCGCCAACATTAGGACACATGGTCATGAGATAAGCCAGTAAGAGATTTGCTTATAGGCAGTGTAAACTTACAGACAGCTGTACGAAAGAAAACATACCCAAAACATAAAGACAGATCCAACTGTATACTCTTTACAATATACTGGATACTCATTTTAGTATAATGTATATGCATTACAGTATACAGTACTGTACACTTATTAGTATACTGTATACTCATTACAGTATACTTATTACAGTTCACTGTATACACTGTTTGAAGGGTCCCCAGTAGTACAGTCAGGTTCATTCTCGACGCAAAATCGAGAATTCCAGGTTCGAATCTCGGGCAGAACAAAAATATTTGGGAACATTTTCTTTCAACTAATGCCTCTGTTCACCTAACAGTGAGTAGGTACCCAGGAGCAGTCCGTCTAATTACCACAAGCTACACAAGCTTCAGAAAGCTTCCTGGCAATACGTTAGTAATGAATAAATATGATATATTTACTCATTATAATGTTGGTGCTGAATGTACAACACGAAAAAACATAATTTTAATCTGAAAAGTATCTTTTTATAAAGAAATTAGACGAAAATAAAAAGCTGGTGACGCCAAATCAAGTCGACGATCCAAGCTACGGTTAGGTTAGATTTGGTTTAGTTAAGTTAGGTTAGGTTAGGTTAGGTCAGCCTAACTTAACATATCATATTTATTCATTACTAACGTATTGCCAGGAAGCTTTCTGAAGCTTGTGTAGCTTGTGGTAGCTTGTGGTAATTAGACAGACCGCCCAGGAGTTAGTCAGCTTGTTGTGGGGTTGCATCCTGGTCGGGGTCAGTAATTCGACCTGGAGGTGGGGGAGACCTTGATAAAAGACAAACGTGAATGAATACACTCTGGCCTCCTGTCTTCCGACACAGTGAATTATGAATTATACTCATACTGACCCTCAATACTGTATTGATATTAAGGTTTTGAACCAGTTATGTGACAGTTAACAAAAACTAACACACAGGATGGCTATAGAATGCATAATGACTAACCACAAACTTGTCTGGTAGATGGGAGCACTTAATCAGCGAGTGGGAGGTTATTGTTGTGATTTATGCCCGAAACGCTTTGCGTAATAGTGGCTTTAGGCATTGTATGTACTAGCTCTACCTATAAGTCAACCAATCTTTTTAAAAATGTATTGTATGTATGTACCTTACCTAAATAAACATTTTATTTTATTTTTTTATAAGGGCGGCAATTATTGTGATGAGGGAGGCTAGTGTTGTGATGAGGGCAGCTGTTGTGATGACGTCAACAAGGGCCTTAAATGAGTCACATCGTACACAAGACGATTCGCCAACGAATTTTAAAACCTACCCTAACGTAACCTAGCTCAATCCAACCTGACTTAATCTAATCCAATATACCCTAACCTATGCTAATACTGCCTAGTATAACAACATATATGGTTTTTAGCAAACAGGAAACAAGGTTCGTCTCATGGTCTCGTGTCCGAAACGACCATACCTCGCCCCGTCACCATGTAGTCGCTTCTGAGGCGCCCAGCCACATTTAACGTTTTCTATGGTGGTGGCTTACTCCTTATTGTTTGTCTTGTGTATTTATATATACAAAAGATCTTATATTATTGTAAACCTACAGTGTGCTAACCACTAGTACACATAGCGTTTCGGGCAGGTCTTTAATCCTAATTTTAACACAGAATACGACCCGGGATTCTTGTACTGTTATATGTCTATTTGTACTCACTGAATTTGTGCGCCCCTTGAGGGACTTGAAGTAGAGGGGGGTATAAATAGCCTAAGCTACTCTATCCCTTTGAGATGTATTTATTGCTTATCTCAATAAACATACTTGAACTTGAACTTGAACTTGAACCACCCACTCACTACTGGTTGAACAGACGCTACAGTTAAGGATAGTTATATGTTATATAATTTTGCTAAAATACATCTTTTCATCTTACCTGATCTAGATTAAGGATCTGCCCGAAACGCTATACGTGTTAGTGGTTTTGCATGAATGCAAGAACATCAATGTAATGTATTCTTACAGTCCAATGTAAGAGTACATTAATAAATGTAAATAAATAAATAAATAAATTCTTGTATATAATTTAATAAAATAAATAAATAATGGGCTGAACGACATGTCATCATAGAAAACGTTAACCGTGTAACTGAAGATTCAGAAGCGACCAGCTGACGCCATCAACACAACATACCCTACGGCCCATCAGGGGCGCATCCCATCCCTCGATCGTCGTCGCCCTTCAACCACCGACTAACTACCTCCACAGCCCAGTCTCGTCGCTGCCCAAAACAACAATTGGACACCTGATGCTTTGTCGTATGGGGTCACTGGGTGTCGATAGACAGTCTTCTAGTTGGGTTTCTGTGTGGAGTGGGAGGTTCTCGCCTCCCTGGGGGACGCCTGTGTCGCCGGGCACTTGTTGTGAAGTGCATTTGTCTGCCGTAGCCCGAGACGGCAGTTTTTTCACCGCCGAGTGACGACGTATAGCCTGCTTCTGTAATCACTGTCGCTGCTCCTAATCCTACAAAAAGAACAGCAACATCCGTTCCTTGCTGTCAGTCAACTCGGTTTTTCGTTGAGAAGAAAAACTTTAATGTAAACTGAATGTTTCAGGAAGAAGAGGAAACAACACCTGAGGGCACAAAAGTTAACACCGACGCATCACTCAACATCATTCTAATAGTCACTGAAGAAAAACTCATTCGAGCTGCATAAAGATCCTTCACAGTCAAGTGCTCGTATCAAGTCTAACTCCAAGAAATTGGGCTATAACTTTTGTTGATTTACTCCACGTTTAAATTACACCAGACTTTTATCTGAATTTATTTGATGGCCAACATCTCTAGTGTCCTCGACAGGGTTAGAAAGCCAGCAGATTGTAAAAGATCCCTACCCTACCATTGTTCCTGAGATCATTTTGCCAGCTGGATTTTGAACTGCAGTAATGACTTGGCACTTACAGCTTCTGCAGGTAGGCAGTTTCATGGGTTTATAACCCTATGGGTGAAAAGGCATGTCCTATTTTCTGTCCTTCATTGTGGCCTGTTGAGCTTGAAGCCATTGCCCCTTGTATGTGTTACATGTGATCTTTTAAAGAAGTGGTCTGTATTAATATTGTCTGCAAGCCACTGGGTGATTATATAATCTACCAGGTTCGACGTGTCTGGAGGAGGGTCTAAGGCTCTCCACCCTGGGGGGTAACCACAGGTGGCCAAGCATCTACCACAATACCCAAGCCCTGTCTAATTGTGCACAGCGACAAATTGTCTCAGATTCGTGACACGTGCAGTCATCAGGCAGGCGGACACCTTCATGCCAACTGCACGTACCATAGATTGGAAAAGATATCTTCATACAAGTTGCAGATCTGGGGAAGCAGATATTTAAGTACAAGTAAGGAAACCTGAGTATCAAAGAAGAAAGAAGTGAAGAGCAATCAGAATTTCATACACACTGCCTGCATCATAAAGAATGGCTTCGTAAGTAAAATGATAATTCCGGATGATAATTAATTTATATTGACAGTATTAAAGTTAAATACAATACATAATTTACTCCTGGTTCAACCTTGATGCCAAAGACATTTTATGCCTGCTTTGTCTGGGTATCTCCTTTACAAGGGACTGATTCTTGTTCTTTGTGCACTGATAATGCTGTCTGGTATATCTCTTTAAGGCTGCTTTATAGGATGCCAGGCACACTTATCAGCATGGGTCACTGGGAGGTTGATATATTTTTCCTGTTTGATGATTGGCACTTTGGGTGGGGTGACAGTGACCAAGTACTGGATTGGCTGAGAGTTATCAAGAGTTTCCAGGTCTTGGTGGACTTCTGGTATGTCCTCAGGGCATGGTATACCCTGGAGTGAATTCTGGGAGTTGATCAACCAAGGCCAGGCTTGTCTTGCACTACATAGTCTTCCCAGCTTGGTTCCTTTTTTATATTTGCCTACTTGTGATAACTTCCTCTAAATGGCTGTTGCTTGGAGTAGCCTATAGACCCACATATCTGTTACAACCCGAATAGTCTGGTACTTCCTGCAAGAACTTGTCTAAATTTTTTTGAACATGTCCAGTTTGGTTCTGGCAATATTTCTTATTTTCGGTGGGAGGATATTGAATGGCCATGGACTTCTGATGTTCATACAGTGTTCTCTAATTGTGCCATGGCATCTCCACTCTTCTCGTAGTCTATTCTTCATTTACAGTACAGTATTACTACATCTTTTATTTCAGTTTGTTGTTATTTTGCTGTGCAAGTCTGACCCCCAAAAGTTAGCATTGTTTAAGTATAAGGATCCCACAGAATGCAAATCAGAACGTGCATTTTGAATGCGTATCTGAATTCTGAATATTATGAAATATTATGAAACTATTAACTTGGTGGCCACCGTTACATCTCTACCAACTTCATGGGAGTCACTCTGGTAACTCTTATCCTGTAACTACACTTGGGTAATTACAAGTCACACTACAAAGTTTAAGGCTAGCCCCAAGCATGTGGCCTTCTATCTTAGACAGACACAGACAGACAAACATTTTACTATAGTTACTTTATAACTATAGATGTGATTGCCCCTCTTCTCTTTATTTTCTAGAGTATATTTTGAGTGTTTTGAAAGGGTCCCAATAATATCCCTGTAGGTGCTCTACCATATGTGTGCATGCCCTATATGTTTTTAGAATTTCCTCTATTTCAGAAATGTCAAGTATTAAACAGTACTCAAAGTGGGATAGTGCAAGTGATTAGAATAGTATTATAGCCACATTCTTATTATAATATTGCACAATATATTATAACATATATTAAATTGTGGAATATATTATATTCCAATATATTATAATACCACAATATTATAATTTTATTTTATTCGTTTATTTTGTATTTACATTATTTATATATACAAGAATTCTTACATTCTTGTACAGCCAACATAGCATTTTGGGCTGGTCCTTAACCCTTAACATGCTCGGGGTCTAATATCCTGCTATCCACACAGGCGCATGTCATTTTGAAAAAAAAAAAAATTTTTTTTTTTTGCTAATCTGTTAAGTTCTGTTCACTGATCACGGGAAAAATAATAAAAAAATTCTATTGTACTTACTTTGGTTGCAATAGAGCCGAGAAGCTCGGTGATGACGTCACAATCTGCAAGTTCGCTCATGCAGTACACGCCCGGGAGATGTTGCGCGCGGTCCTCAAACAGCCAGAGTTGCCACAAATATATTTTCGCGCTATTTATTTACAATGTCTAAGCGCATTTTATCTAATTTTTTTTCACTAATTGTGTTTCAAATACTGTTTGAACATATTTTGTATCAATAATTGTTGCATATTTGAGTATACACAGGCGCACACAAATGTTTTCAATTACGGCAATATAATATGTCATTACAGTCTATTATATTGTATGTTCTGCTTATATTTGTATATATTTACACACACGCACACGCTATCTGCTTATATGTTTACATATTTACACACTCGCACACGCTATACACACTTTGAAGCACACTTAGAAGATTTCTAGACTGTGGTAGTCATTGAAGCAGTCCAATAGTCATTTATTGCATGTTTGTGACAGTGCTTCATCAACAAACAGAGTGCCAAAAACACATACATTTCCACCACTGTGGTATTTTTCCAACGCTGCAGTCGTGAAAATTCTGTGATTTCCCTCTCAATCAGGTAAGCAGCATGCAGGTTCGTTTGGTGTACAATGTATTCCATGAGTGGTTCATCATAGAATGCTGTAAAATATTCCATCTCAGCCATGTCCTCACCTTGATTAGGGAAAAGGTTTGTAATCCCTACATCTTTATCGTCAAAGTGAGGAATATTAGGAATAAAATCGTCACCATCACTCCACTCAAGTACACCAGGCGTCCTGCGAGATGCAGAGGAAAGACGGCGAGGAAGCGATGCATACCGGCGACCAGGAGCTGAATACCGTCTGCGAGAAGCACGGCGGCTACGTGCACGTGAGGTGGGTGCACGTGAACACGAGGGTCTTGGTCCCTCATGTGGTGCCATGCGGTGGCGCTTGGCCGGGCGAGATGCTGCTGACGCGACAATTTCTCGCCCAGTTACACCACTGGTACCAGCCACAGGCTCAATAAAACTTTGATCTGAGTCACTAAACCCAGAAAAGGAGTCACCTCCCTCTGACTCGTCACCCTCAAACAGAAAATATCCACAGGAACTGTGAGGTCGTGGTAGAATTGGGGTAGAAAATGGGCGAGGAGGCATGGGAGAGCGAATAGGCCTCGCCATGGCATGGCGGTCATTCTCACTTTCACTGCTGCTGCTGCTATCACCCGACAACTGTGTATAATCCTCATCGTTGTCTGAATCGTCAAACACACTTTCTTCACCTTCAGAGAATAATTCGTGGGCTATTTGCTCTGGGGTGAGGGACTGAGTGGTGCGTGCCCGTGAGGCGTTTGACCGTGCGCTCGCCATGGTGACTCTCGCTAAACTGAGGCCTCCCATGCCATCGAATCGTGAGCTGGATTTTTTTTCAAAATGGCCGCTGTTTACTAGAGCCCCTGGGCAGCGTATGGGACCCCCAGCTACACCGCGGGCCATTCAAATCGTGCGCGGTACCCATACACTTCATATGAAGTGAAGCGCAGTTGACTGGTAAAACGATTTACACTTCATATGAAGTGATGCGCACTTTAAGGGTTAATCCCAATTTTCACACACACACACATCCCCAGGAAGCAGCCCGTAGTAGCTGTCTAACTCCCAGGTACCTATTTACTGCTAGGTGAACAGAGGCATCAGGTTGAAAGAAACTCTACCCATTTGTTTCCGGCTCTGCAGGGGATCGAACCCGGACCCTTAGGACTTTGAACCCCCAAGAGCTGTCCACTCAACTGGGCCTGATGGGGGGTCATCACTATAATAGTATAATAGCCACCTCAATAGTATAAGCATTGTGGTGGAATCCCTGGATTTGCAATCCCTTGATCCACCCTGTCATTTTGCTGGCTGATGCTTGCTTTGTTTGGCTCACTAAACATTAGGGCATCTGACATCATCATTCACAAATACTTTACATGATTGTTAATCTTTTATAGGATCACTCCATGCCAAATCATCATCTGACATTATTACTCCTAAACTCTTTACATTGTTCTTTCTTGCAATGGTGTGGTTTGATTGTTTTATACAATGGGACCTCGACTTACGATGCTAATCTGTTCTCAGAGACGGATCGTAAGTCGAAGCGATTTTTTTCATAAGAAATAAAGGGAATTGAATTAATCTGTTCTCCACCATCCAAAATATTAACATACAAATACATTTTATACTGAATACAATGTTTTTTTCTAACTACAATACAGTACCTAAGTTGATCTTGCCTTTATGGAGGGCTCTTGATGGCGTATGGAAGATGGTGATGAGAGGGGGAGGAGGAGAGTTGTTACTGTTTGGAAGGGGAGTCTCCTTCCATTATCACATCAAGCAGTGATGTTTTCTCTGGGGTTTCTCTCTCCTACGTTTTGCCTGAATACCACTAGGACCTGGTTGTGGTTCAGTGCTTGTTTGTCTCGCTACAAATTTGTCAAGAGTTTGTCAAGAGACATTTGTTTTTCCCTTCGTTTTAACATTTGTCTGTAATGATGCATCACAGTGTCATTGAATAGGTTAAGGCAACGACCTACTGCAGCTTGATTTGGGTGAGTCGTTTCAGCAAAGGTTTAGAATTCTTCCCATGCTGCACACATTTTCTTAATTGTCGAGGAAGAGACATTCTGTACTCTTGTTTCTGCTCTATGGTTATCCTTACATGGGTTTTCATATGTTGAGCCTTAGCACTGACTTTCCTGGGACTCATGGCGTGATATATAATAATTACTTTAATGTTCAAAATGCAAAAAATCACCACAGAAGCGGAATTTCTTATAAGCGCGATCGTCACTAAGCGGGCAGCTGTAGTAAACTGAGGCAGGTCGGCCGCGTGACAGGGAACCACGAGCTCGGGTCGACCCGAACGTGTACCTTATCTTGAGGTTATCTTGAGATGATTTCGGGGCTTTTTAGTGTCCCCGCGGCCCGGTCCTCGACCAGGCCTCCACCCCCATGAAGCAGCTCGTGACAGCTGGCTAACACCCAGGTACCTATTTTACTGCTAGGTAACAGGGTCATAGGGTGAAAGAAACTCTGCCCATTGTTTCTCGCCGGCGCCCGGGATCGAACCTGGGGCCACAGGATCACAAGTCCAGTGTGCTGTCCGCTCGGCCGACAAACAAATATCGGAAGTTGACGACACCATCGGATGTTGAGTCGCATTTATCGATGAAATTTACATCGTACCTCGAAATTATTGTAAGTATGGGCAATCGTATGTCGAGGTGCCACTGTATATGGTTTCTGTTTTTATGTTTTTTGTTTTTTTCATAGCAGACTAATTAGAGCTTATCCCATCAAAGGAGATATCTCAGTGAGCGCATTCAGGGGGTTAAAGTCAAAGATCTATTTAACTATTTCTAGGGTTTGGTTGGCTTTTCTGGATAGAGCCTGTTATGGCCACTTGTTTATCTGTAACCGGGTTCTTGATGTTGTAACCTCTCTTATAGTACCCAACCCCAAGTTGGTAGTATGCTTTCAAGAACTGGTTGTATAGTGCAATAAAGAATAAGGGGGGGATGAACAATACACAGTTCCATCACCAATATATTTACACTTTCACCATTAAAAATATATCTTAGAATAAATAGATTATAACTACAGGTATATACATTAGTGTCACTTTCACGCAGGACACTACTATATTGGCAGTATTCACCAACTTCAGTGTTTCCCCCGCCCAGTACTGTGTGCATGTGTACTGATAAAACACTGGTGAATTCACCTTTTTCTTGGGCCAGTCCACCAAGACAGTCTCACGAGGTGCCTACACCCCTCTTTCGCTCTCCAGCTTCACACTGGCAGAGGACTTCAGCGATCACGCTGACAGGGGTTTCAAACAAACTCACGCAGGGGTAGCTGATCCCTCAGCAGAAGCCTCTAGCAGCTTGCTAGCAGCACTTCTCGATAGGCACCTCACTGTCATCCGCTACTCTCCCAAGCCAATCCCGGGTACACCGATCTATACCAACACTGTGTATATTAGCAGCTAACACACTGCTCAGATTGGCGGCGGATTACTTGGTCTTCCAGGACCAAGCTGAGAGTACGTGGACTGCCCAAGGTAAACTGTCTTCATCAGTACAATCACCTCTACACGTCACGTCTGTGGACATAAAACGTCATCAATTAGACGGACGGTACACTGGAGAAACCATGAGGTAACACTCATTCACCTGAGAGTTGACATTATGCTCTGTAGCACAACAGATGGCACTAATTGTGACATGCCATTCACCGGAGGTCGTCCACATCGACCTGTCTTGCTAACTAGGGCAGGAAACCAGAGCCATTTGTCACTGTCGCACCACCACCAAGAGATGGCGTTGCCCACATAGCGTCCAATATCGGGAACCGAGGTGCCGACCCATAGATGGCTCTGAAATCGCCACTCCATACTCTAATGAAGATGGCGATACCGTAACAGAGCCCTTGGTGGCTTCCTGAGCTGTTTTGCTGAAATTGCTCCATATTATAAAGTCGCATCAGTCACAGAAGTTCAGTTTGGCTTACCAGGGACCACAGCCATAACCTGGCCCTCCCTTTCACAGAAGTGCAGGGAGCAGGTGACAATCCACCACCTGACCAGAAAAAGCTTCCATACAATAAGCGCAGCTTTACAGACAACTGAAAGGCTCACTGAAAATACTGTAATGCATCGTAATAGCCAAACAGCTCTGCAAGTGATTCACACAGAACAGGGGATTCATTCAAGCTGGCTCGGAACTAGTTGGTACTGATTACCACCACCAGGTGGTCTGATTATCACATGCTCTCAGTCAGCTCCCTGTCTCAGTTCTGTTATTGATGCTGTACTCTGTAGTACAGATCAAACATACGGCTCATAGGGATTCTAGTCCATCAGATCGCGGGCAATCCCTACTGTTTCAAGCTAAGTGCTAGCCTTCCTAGGACTCTGTTGTTCTGCGGGGACCAATTGCTTCGTGTTTTGTTTCCATTTTATTGGTACAGTATAGGCAATGAGGTGACTTGAATCAGCTTGGTGCTCCAATTGATTTTCTCATTGATATATATGTTAGTGTGATTTCTTTGTATCCGAAGCTGAAGTGTATGGTTGATAAACTACATTTAGCTATACCAGAGTGCTTACCTTGTCTTGAGGTTACCTTGAGAGGATTTCAGGGCTTAGCGTCCCCGCGGCCAAGGGCTTGACTAGGTCTCCTTTTGCTGGACTGGTCAATCAGGCTGATGGACATGGCTGCAGGCAGCCTGACATTTAAGTCACAGCCTGGTTGATCAGGTATCTTTTGGAGGTGCTTATCCAGTTCTCTCTTGAGCACTGTGAGGGGGGTCAGCCAGTTATGCCCCTTATGTGTAGTGGAAGCGTGTTGAACAGTCTCGGGCCTCTGATGTTGATAGAGTTCTCTCTCAGAGTACCTGTTGCACCTCTGCTTTTCAACAGGAGTATTCTGCACATCCTGCCATGCCTTCTGGTCTCATGTGGTGTTATTTCTGTGTGCAGGTTTAGGACCAGCCTCGCTACTATTTTTCCATGTGTAAATTATTATGTTTCTCTCCCGCCTACACTCAAGTGAATACAGAACAGATTTAGGCATGTTAGTCGGCCCCAATAGTTTAGATGTTTTACTGAGTGGATTCTAGCAGTAAAGGATCTCTGCACACTCCAGGTTTTGGGACTGGCTTCAGTAGAAAGCTCCAGATTTCTTCAGTTTACCTAGTCCCCGTGGCATAGTGGTAACATTCCCACCCCGCACTTTGAGAGATTTGGCCTGTGTTCGAATCCTGACTCGGGAGGATTGACTATGCGCCAGTCCTTAACTGTACACCTCTGTTCATCCAGCAGTGAATGGGTACCTGGTTGTTTAACGATTTGGTGGATCGTATTCAAGGGAAAATTATGATTAAGAACCTGCCCTAAATGCTGTGTGTCAGTGGCTTTATAAGAATGTAAGAACTCTTGTATATATAAATGAAAAGAAAAATTCCTCTGGATTCACTGAAATTTACAGGTTCTATAACTTACACCAAGTCGTGGTACAGAGGCAAGGTGCATAGCTGGAAGTTCTTTGATTGCTGGTTTAAACCTCCTCATTGCACCAATTTATTTTCTCATATTTATCTTTTTTCCATATATATGCTAAGAATCCTATACACAAAGATGTCTTAAATATTAATTGAAGTTGAATGCTCAGTTCAGGTGCACATTCTCTCAGAACCCACGGTGAAACTCCATCTGGTTCAACTGCTTTACTTCTTAACTCCTTGAGTAATTTTTTTCATTTCATCTCAAAACACTTTGTGTACTATATGGAGTGATGTATCTCAGGAGTATAGCACCTATGGCAAGCACTGAAATTGTGCCCCATGTCCAAACATCTGACACCATCTCTCAGATAACTTTAACATAAAATCAGCTCAAAAAACCAGTCAAGTTCATTAATCTTTTAGTTGACAAATTATGATTCTATTTGAAAATGACAACTGCACCTTCCTTGCTTTCACCGATGCAAAAAGTGTGCTCAAAGTATGATGTGTATGATGTGCTCAAAGTCAGTGGTGTCAGTTTCTTCTCTTTCTACACTTAGCATAGCACAATGCTCTAAAATAAGGAAATGGCATTTTTAATAACATATTATGTTATGAACATGAAAAGTAGATTTTTATATGTACATAGTATGCAATGCAATTAACAGTAAGAAATATATCCTTTAACTCAGACGGTGAGACACAATAATCTGGCTGAAGATATGATGACCAAACTACACACCAGAAGATGAAGAGATGGTGACGTTTTGGTCCGTCCTGAACCATTATCAAGTCAATTGTGTGGTCAATTGACTTGATAATGGTCCAGGATGGACCAAATGGTTTTCCAGAATGGTTTGGTCATCATATCCTGTAACTGCATATAATAATAATAATAATATAATCAAAGACAGATCATACATCTGAAGAAAATTTTGTTTTCACTTTCCGAGGATAACGTATCTGAATTTAACAGAAAGTACTCAGTGACGCCCCCTTTCAGGTGGTGCCCAGGGTATGTGCCATACTTACCATACTCTAGATATGCCACTGACTCGGTGGTCTTCTCTGGAATTGGCATTGTGTCTGGTTCTCCAAAAACCTCATTTTGCACAAACTCATTATGGAACTGTTCATTTACTCTTTCCACACATTTCCTGTACTGCACTGTGCTGTAATGATTTGTTTATTATTCTTTGATACTGTACATGAACAACAACATACATGTACTTGATAAAGTGTAAGAAATTTTTTAATTGTTATAAATTTTCATGCAATTTTACAGATTTAAAAGAAAAAGAAATGAAGGGGAAAATCTTATACTTCCCAATGATAGACAAGAAAATTGCAGCAATTCAATAAAACAAGGAAAGCAGGAGCCAAGACAAAATTCCATTATTGGCCATTTTGAGGTCCATCCTCGCAACAAGTATAATTTTGCTGCAGCTGTGCTGCGGAGGCCAATGTTCATCGGTGACTTTTGTTTGGATGAAAAAAGAAAATTTTGTCAAGATAAGCGAAACCTCCACTTTATAAGTGTCAATTGGAAGGAGTCTAAGAAGGTATGTGATATTAAATTTTCAGTAAATTCAGTTTACTCAAATATTATTTTTTCTCTGAACTTCATTTATTAATATGTGTTGCTGAGCTACTAAAGTTGGTCACTCCTTAGGCAAGATCTCACTTTCATCCTGATAGGATCAGCAACATTTGAAACAGTCGGTGTTTTGCAATGGCTTGGCTAGAATCTTCCCTGTCAGAACATGTCCCTGTCAGATCATGCTGGTACTGTGGAGACACTAGAGAATACTCAATCCAGCCTAGAATATAGATAGAGTGGTGCAACTCTGGATGATGCCTCTTCAGTTCTGCTCCTGTCATAATCTATGAACTCCTGAAATTCAACAGAATCTGGATCCAATGAAGGACACTGAGCAAACTGAAGCCTTCAGAACCAGACGAAGCAGAAATAGCAGAGGAAGTAGTTAGAAACCTCCTTGAAAATTGCAGAGGGATTGGCATTCACACCAGCTGTGGTAGGCGGGCTATAAAAGCCTGAAACAGGAAACTCGATCCCACAGAGTTGAAGTAGCCCAATAGGAACCCTGAACCCAATAATCTGAATGACAGATGCAACAAGCATGTCTGAGGGTTCCAGAAACCCCAAAGCACATTCTGATTACCCGTATCTGTTTTTTGCCATTTCAGAATCAGATGGAGAAGCTATAGCAACCTAGCCAACATTTTGTACATGACAATTAAACCCCACAAGCATGAGGGACATCAGCTACCATACTGTCATACGTACTGCCAGGCTTGCTGAATACACCGGAAGTGTAATGGTGAAGCAGAAACCGAAGTTTGGATTTAGACCACTTGGTAAGGGTGGGTGTAAGCAGTCGCAGAATATGGTAACAGTGTTTTGCCCAAGTAAAGCGTTTGCCCGAGCATTTGATATAGTTGGCAAGTTGAATACATTGAAGGAAGAGGTTGCTGAAGCCAATTCCTTCCACAACTTTTTAAGAAAAAACTATGATGAAAGCTTTAATGTTGTGAGGGACAATTCATGTGCCAGGTATAAATGACTAGGAGGCCGGGCAAAACGAGCTAGATCTTGCTCCCCTGTAGTCTCTGAGAGGTAAACACTTGCTTTACTATCAGTATAGTGATCATCACTACCACTATGACTAGTACAGATCACACAATATTACTGTTGTCATCACAGTTAGAACCTTGTGGAAGCAAATTACCTTCACCTGAAAATAGTTTTTCCACCACAACCACTGATGAAGCTAGGTTATCTTGCACCTTGAAAACCAACATATGGTTACCACTAACATGAGCATACTAGCAACAAGATCACCCTCATTGCATTTTCAGTATTTTTGCAACAAATATGCTCTAATTGGCAACTCAAAGTGTACATGTTTAAACACACTTTTAAATAATATTTAAAACACTGGTGCTTTCCCGTCTTGAGTACTGCTTGGTATTCACTTACCCTTTCAGAGCAGGAGAGATTTCTGAATTAGAGAGGATACAGAGAACCTATACTACACGCATAGAAATGATAAAACAACATATTGGGACCCTCTCAAAGTTCTCAAAATGTACTCTCGGGAAAAGAGATGAGAAAGATATCAAATAATTTTTACATATAACATACTAGAAGGCCAAGACCCAAATTTGCACAGTAAAGTAACAACATACTGGAGCAAAAGATGCGGAAGGAAATGTAGAATAAAACCAGCGAAGAGTAGAGGTGCCATAGGCATAATCAGAGAGCATTGTTTGAACATCAGGAGTCCATGGCTGTTCAGCACCCTCCCAACAAGCATTTGAAATATTGCCAGAACAAAAGGTGGATATCTTCAAGAACCATTTACATAAGTTCTTGCAAGAAATACCAGACCAACCAGGTTGTAGTGAGTATGTGGACCTGTGGGCCTCTCCAAACAACAGCCTGTTGGACCAAGTTATCACAAGTTGAGCTTGGCCCTAGGTAGGGCTCAGGGAGTAGAAGAACTCTCAAAACCTTCTCCAGGTATTCTTTAGGTTTTGTCAGTGAAGCATCTTGTTGGTCACAGTCGCTTCAGCCTCATTCCTCTGTCTCACTTTCTTTGCTGTTGGAGTAACTTGTTTCATATTCTAAGGGATAATACTCATGTTACCTTTTGTACTTGAAATATATTCCTCTTCAACGTGAACATTTTCCAAGCCTTTCAAATGTCTTGTATATATACTGGGCGTCAATGGTCCCTAGCATGGCCACCTTGTATATTCAGTGGTTGGATGGTGATATGCCACGACTGGTATGCATCATTTTACTAAGGCTCGGGGAAAAAAACTAAGGCTCTTGGAACTTTTTTTTACAATATGACAAATGAGTGCTAGACGTTTCTAGTGCCAATTATGGCTCCTTAGAATTGGTGGGATTTTTTTAATATTACTGGGTACCTCAAATTGCCTCCAGATAATTTGCTTGGAGCAGTCACTTGAGAACGATGGGAATGGTTTAAGGGTTATTAAAGCAAGAATCACATAAATGGAAACGAATATATAGTTTGGAAATTACATAATGACTTTCCAGTTTTTACTGCAGTCCCTCAGGAATTTGGATTTTCCAAGAAAAATGATTTTAGGATGGGTGATCAGGTAACTAACTCACACTTGTTATTTAAAGGGATCTGTTATATGGCGGTCCAAATTATGGAGGGTCCATTGTAGTTGAATGAACCTACTTATTGCTAATCTGGGCTGGATTGAGACTTCTCAAAGTGTTGCCCCTCTGTTCACCCCTGTAGGGATGGCATAATGAGATCTCCATTGCATTGGTACTAACTGGGCATGATTTAGGTAAATATTGTCCAAAAGAGAACTAGACACTTGCAGTAAGGAGCAGTTGAGTGACTTACCCAGAAAGCTTTAAATGTGTCTTATTTTAATGCTAAATATAATGTTATATCAGGTGGAGTATGATCTGAATGTGAGCCTTGATAAAGTGACAAGAAAAGATTTTGAAGAAACGCAACATGAAAAACTGGACCGTTTGTTGGAATGGATTCTCCACAACTCCTTTAAGTTTCACACAAAAGAATCTACTGGAAAATCACTTAAATGGTAAGTTTTATTTATTATCCATTTAAAATGTGGCTGCTTTTATGAATCTGTTAAAGAGATATTTGAAGAATATTGTAAATGATTTAAAAAATAATACAGGATTCAAATACATTTTCTGGGAGGGCTCCTCTGAAAGCTCCGTGGATAGTAACACCCATTTGAATCCACACCAGGCCCTTGTGAGTCATTATAAGCCTACCATGGACCAGAGGCCATAACCTGGCCCCCCTCTAAAGAGGTGCATAAATAAATAATGTACATGTAGCTCCTGTTTTTATTTCCATTTAAATCATTTACTGTTTGTTTTATTATTTGCTTTTGCATTTTACTCTAATACAATGTTATTATAGAATACTTTTCTGAGGGGAGCCCCGTCGGCTCCCTGAAGCTGATTGACTGATATTTGCTATACTGTAATGTCTAGAGCATCAGTTAATAGGAGTTCTTGCCTACTGGAAACCACGAGCCAGAACCTGGTTCCCTCAGAGAGGCACAGGGAACAATGGCTTACGAACATTCCACTTTATGAGAGTATAGTCATGTCTGCTATCGACTGGGGGTATCACCCAAAAAGGTAGGCGAACCATTACAAACCCCTACTGGTAAAACATTGCAACCCAAGACTTGAACAAAGATCAAGAACTCCCCCTCCCTCTATCCCCCAAGAGGAAACAACAAACAAGCAAATGTCTAATCAACTAGTGCATTTGCTCGTTAGTGACCCCCTCCCCTAATCCGGGAGGGGGAAGGAGGGTCCCACCCAGGCGGCCCAAGTGCTGACACTGGTAGTTCGTTGACTGATGTCGTACGGAGCAGACGTTATCTATACCTCATTCTCCTGTCTGGATTTTGCCCTGTGTGGTTGTGCCAGCTAAGTTGTTACCTCCTGAGGGACCCAGAACTCGACTCTATTCTGAACCCAGAATCTTTTGAGTTCGATTCCTCTTTCCCATACTGGGTGTTATGAGGTTCCTGGGTCTTTCTGGCTTGTAGACTGCCCTTTCTTTGCTTTTGAGGCTTGGCATGGTTATGGTTGTACCCGCACGCTTGAGGGTTTTGGGTACAATAAACTAAGGCTCTTGGCGTAAGGTTTTCTCAGTTTGCGCGCTCAGGTCTCCGTGCTTTTGGCTGCCTTGGTTGATGACCATCGAGCTCGTGGTCATTTGGCTTTGGTCTTGTGCTTCTTTATTTTTCTGGAGCTGTATTCGGACTGGCTTTCTGAGGATGTGAAGGCGTCGAGTGCTGGGCCTTCGATTGCATCACTCAAGCAAGTCTTAATTCTTTGATAGAGCTCGTCCCCTCCTCTCCTCGTGAAGTGAATAGATTAGGGGGGCCTGACAGCTGAGTGGACAGTGCCCGGGATTCGTAGTCCTAAGGTTTCGGGTTCGGGTTGGCAGAGGCTGAAACAAATGGGCAGAGATTCTTTCACCCTGATGATCCTGTTCACCTAGCAGTAAATAGGTACCTGGGCGTTAGACAGCTGCTACGAGCTGCTTCCTGGGGATGTATAACAAAAAGGAGGCCTGGTCAAGGACCAGGCCATGGGGATACTAAGCCCTGAAATCATTTCAAGATACTCTAGTTAGTGTCAAGGACTCTGTCATACTCAATCTGTAAATTTAAATCCTTTCATTATTTCAGTGGAATGGGATAATAATATATACTGTACCTGGATTGTACCTGGAGAGGGTTCTGGGAGTAGTTCTACTCCACAAGCTTGGCCTGGGGTCAGGCTTGACTTCTTAAACCTTGATCCAACAGACTGTTGTTTGGATAGCCTGCATCTTCTTCTTGAGGTTATCTTGAGATAATTTTGGGCCTTAGTGTCCCCACGGCCCAGTCCTCAACCAGGCCTCCACCCCCAGGAAGCAGCCCGTGACAGCTGACTAACTCCCAGGTACCTATTTACTGCTAGGTAACAGGAGCATCAGGGTGAAAGAAACTCTGCCGGTTTCTTTCTCGCCGGTGCCCGGGATCAAGCCCGGGAACCACAGGATCACGCATCCAATATTCTGTTCGCTCAGTCATCACCTCCCTGCTCAGCCACCAGCTCCCCAAATATTCACTATGTACAACCTGGGTTGATACCTGGTTGATGGGGTTCTGGGAGTTCTTCTACTCCCCAAGCCCGGCCCGAGGCCAGGCTTGACTTGTGAGAGTTTGGTCCACCAGGCTGTTGCTTGGAGCGGCCCGCAGGCCCACATGAACCTGTTTGGTTCAGCACTTGCAAGGAACAAATTTTGTTTTGAAAGTCCAATTTTGTTCTGGAAATATTTCTTGTACAGTACTTGGGGGAGGATATTGAAATAGGCATGGACCTTTGATGTCCTAAGTGGTGTGTTCTCTGATTGTACCTATGGCATCTCTACTGTTCATTTTGTGTATTTGTTATAACCTTAAAGACTGAAACTGTCTTTAGTTTTAGTCTTTAAAGTTGTGTGTGACTGTCATCAAAATATATTTTATCTTGAGTGTAACATTCTGTATTTTTGTTAATAATGTGTCATTGTTTTTGTAGCCTTTCAACAGACTTCATCTGCTTTAGGGGATTAATGACAGAGCTTCTGTGCACTCCATATGAAAGAGAAGGCTGGATTGTCTGTGCCACAAAGTAAGTGATTGATGAATGTTGCTATCTCTTAAGGGTTTTATTACTTGTCATGAATGGTAAATGTTTTCATGCATTAATAGAGTACATATATGTTATTCCATCAGTATAAGATATTATGACACTTGTAATTATTACTCTGACAGTTTTAAAGTCTCTTGAGTAATCCAAATGAATTGATGTTCAAGCTTTTGACATTTCTTTCTGGGGCGAGCCTGTCGGTTCCCCGGAGCTATCCAGGCTGATATGGATATATTAGCTTTCTGGAATCAGTCAATGTACATGGAGTTCTTGCCTACTGGGGACCACAAGCCAAAATCTGGCCCCACTCAGAGAGGCACAAGGAGCAATGGCCTATAGGAACCTCCGTGTGGTTGGGAGCATTCTGTGTCTGCCATCAACCGGATCTGGCACCCAGAAAGGTAGGCACCCTAAAATAAACCCATATTCTGGTGAAAATATTGCTATTGAAATCCAAACGAGTGGACAAAACTCCCCAAATAAAAATGAGCAAACTAGCATGACGTCATCACATTGTCACGCCACTGTCTGTTCACCTTCCCCCCCCCCCCACCTTCCTGGGAGGGGGAAAGGGAAAGCCCCAGACCCTCACACCGGCAATTCACACCCCCAGTTCTTGGCTGATGTGTTGCTGTTGCTGGCAAGGTTGTGTGCCTCTGGTTCCAGATTTTGTCTCAGTTTCTGTGCCTTGTAGCGTAGTTATCTCTAAGGTTGCTGTGTGAACCAGGAGTATTATTCCTCAAGTACTCGGGCTGCATGTGCCTAGAGTTTCCTATCCCTAGGTGTTGTGTAAGTACTGCCCTTGGGGCTTGGGGCAACCTTCCACAAGTCACCTTGGGGTCTACCTCCGCTGTGTATTTTACTGCTCGGTTATAGACCGCCCTTGGAGTCAACTGGGGTTTTTGTTTACCCCTGTTTGGCTCTGGGTAGGGGGTAGTTTTTATTACTAGTTGTGACACAGGGTACAGTGCAGCTTGTTATCACCTCTCATACCGGTTGGCTCTGTTCCACCTGGGTACATTGTCCTCTTGCAGGATTTTTCTTTTTCTTTTTATTTTCTCTGCTTGGTGGATGGTCTGCCTCTTGGTTGGTCATACCCTATTGTTCTTGGTGGTCCTCTCCTAGAACCCCTGTGAGTGTACACGTCCTCGGGGGTGCAGCTTTTAGCAGTTTGCTTGGTAGTTGGGGTGCTGGTTAGCTGTACGCTATCTGGGCTTCCCTTAGCATCTTCCCTAGGCTAAGAGCCCTGAGAAACCCTATAGGGGTTCCTTGTTCCAATGGATGCGACCCTGGAGTCTTCCTTTTACTTCGTGCGAGGTTGATGGTTGCTGTCCCTTTGTCTCAGGGTGACAATCACTGGTTGTGCTTCCGACATGCTGCCTATAGGCAGCATGGCAGGTCTGTGACCCTATAGGGTCTGTGTTTCTTTTGACTAGGAGTCATGAGATGTTTGTTGTTTGTATATTCTCAATTTCACCCAAGCTACTCATCATGATATGCGGGTGCAACGTTTGAGGGTTTCGGAGTCGGGCAGGTTCTAGTTGGTATTGAGACTCTGGTAGTCTCAGGGAAGTCCCCTTCCGGGGAGGCAGTGGAGGCATTCGATCCTGGTCCTCCAGCCGGAGCTTCTGGGTCTGACCAGTGGGCCCCCCTTCATTCCTGCTTTTTCGGCTACTCCTGCCTTTTCTTTAGAGGCGGGGGGTTTGGAGGACGGCTCGGCCCTGGGTCCTCGGGGTGAAGTTCCTGGGGCGGGGAAGGGGTTGCCTTGGGGGTCTTGAGGCCCCATTGGACCCCGCCTAGGTTTTTGTACCCTTGGAGCGGGACTTGATGTTACAGGTGAGGGGTTCTCTTTCGCTCCCTCCTCGTACGAATTGGATTTGGCATCTACCCCTTCCCAGGTTTGGTTCCGTAATCTCGTCGTTTTTTCGGTTCGGTCTTTCCAGAGGTTTTTGGCTTCCCGCATCCCATCCCATGTGGTGTGGGAAGCCCTTGGGGCTTATCTCCTGTGCGACCTGGATTATGCTTTCGTAATGGATCCGCATTCCTTCGTGTATGGATCTTCATGTCCTTACTGGGTTCGTTATGAAGTTCCACAGTCGTCCTGGTTAGCTGACTGCCCTCTCTTCTCTTTGGAGGCTTGGCATACATTCTGTCGATCCCGCACGCTTGAGTGTAGGAAGGCTCAGACGGCGTTGCAGGTTTTCCCTGTGGGGGAATTGGAGCATCTCAATGCGTGCTTGTTCACCTCTGCCCTTCTGTGGGATATTGGTGTGATGCAGCGTCATATGCAGGTTCCTTCCCTTTTGGCTGCCTTGGTCGCTGAGGATTTGCACATGCGTGGCCTGTTGGCTTTGGCTTTGCATTTCTTCTCCTTCCTTAAGTTGTCAACAGACTGGCTTGAGGTGGATGTGGAGGCACTTGGGGCCACCTCTGGGTCTGATGCATTGCCCTCAGCAGCGCGTGCGTCATCTGCTTTGTTGAAGTTGTTCGCACTGCTCCTGTAGGTTGCGATTTTGCGATGTTTTGCGTCTCTACTCATGTGTTGGCAGGTGGTGCTCGCTTCTTCCTTGGAATCAGCTTGGGCCCTGGTTCTTAAGTGTCTTTGCCTTTTTGTTCATTGCTGTTTGCGGAGTCTGCGGTTGTGCAGTATCTGCAGGCAACTTCGGCTAGTTGCCGTCCTTTGTCGGATTAGTTAGTCCTCTGGGGGGCTCGTGAAGGGCCTTGCTGGCAGGGTCGTGCCAGGGCACGGGGTTCTTCCCGTCTTGGTAGGCCAGTGGTGCCAGATTCGGCGCCGGTGCAGCCTTCAGTATTGTCTGTTGCTGTTCGGCGAGGTGATCGCCCTGTGCGTCGTTTGGGTGCTCGTAAGGTGTGTAGGCGCTTGTGGTTGGTCCTATTGACGGGGCAGTGGGGGGGGGAAGGAAGCTTGCCTTGTTTGCTCGCACCTGGTCCTACAATTTGTGGGCGTTTCGGGTCGTTTCGTGCAGCATGTGGTGGCGTTGGGTAGCCCATCCTCCTTCAGGGGGTTCGGGGCTGGCGAGGCAGGCCTCTTCTCCTTCGCGCTGTCAAGTAGTCCTGGAGTGGATTTGCTTGGGTGTGGTCAAAACGACCTTGTCCCTCGGGTGATTTTCCTGCCTGTTTCCGGTCCCGAAAAGGGACTGCGTGGACCTCAGGTTCATTCTGGACTTGTGCCATCTGAATCCGTGGGTTTATTGCCCCTCCTTTCGGATGACTACTTTATCCCAGGTCAGTCTTCTGTTGGAGCCGGACGCTTGGATGGTGTCCCTGGACCTCAAGGACGGGTATTGGCACATTCCGATTCATCCGAGGTTCAGGGGCTAGCTCGGATTTGTTGTGGGGCGTCAGAGTTACCGCTTTCATTATCTTCCATTCGGTTTGAATCTGGCTTCTCGCATTTTCACACACCTTACTTGGGTCGTGGTGGCCCGCTTGCGTCTGTTAGGTGTTTGGGTTCTGGCCTACCTCGATGACTGGCTGGTTTGGGCTCCCAGCCAGTCCATGTGTCTGTTCTCAAGGAATTTGGTTCTTTCCCAGTTCGCCGGGTTCGGATTTCTGGTAAACTGGCGGAAGTCCCATCTGGTTCCCTCTCAGGTTCGACCTTGGCTGGGTCTTGTATTGGATACTCGGACCGCTTCCTTGTCTCTCCCTCCAGCGACTCTAGTTCGGCTGCATTCCCACCTTCATCTGTTTTTAAGGGGGTCCCGGGTCACGCGGCAGTTGCTTGAGGGTTTGTGCAGGAGCCTGAACTCTGCCATGATGGTCTACCCGCGGGGTCGAGTGTGGCTTCGTCGGCTGTTTTGGTTCCTTCGGGGACGTCCCTGCCACCTCTCTCGCGACCGCTGGGTTTGGCCTCTGGGGGCTTTGCGTCTCTGGCTTCCTATTCGTGTTTTTCAGGGTTCAGTGCCTTGGCACCTGCCCGAGCCCTTGCTCAATGTGTTCACGGACGCGTCGTCTCTGGGCTGGGGCTTTGTGACCAGTGCACATCAGGCCGGCCTGGGACGGTGGGGTCCGTCCTTCCGTCGGGCTCACAGCACGGTGTGGGAGTTCACGGCTGTGTGGATGTCACTCTGGAGGATTCGGATCGCTTGCAGATTGATGTACCCTCAATCCGATTTGATATCAAAGGTATCTGATTCACCAAGGATTTTATCTAGGGACGAGTGACCGAGATAGATAGTCGGGAAATAACACACACACACACACATCCTGGATGTCAGGACATTCAACAAGGATATACACAACCGTAAGAGGGACAATAAGGAGCAGGGCGGCGCTCCATTAAGTGCCAGAGAGTTAAACATGTATGGCGAATACATAACCATGCCAGAGTCGTTTCCCACCACCGGTTGCAGTGGTAGGAGGAAGGCCACAGGAACACGCTACCCTTAAGAGCACGCAGTTTGTTACCAGTAACATAAGACCAATGACCCTGCCGGCAGTCAAGGATTGAGGAATGAATAACTGGTTGGAAGTCGGAATAAGGAACACTTTTACGGGAGACAGGACAAGTGCAGGTAGCCTCCTGAGGGTGCTCTCTTTTTCTCTCTCTTTTCAGCCTCTCTGTTTGGTCTTCGGTTTCAAATTTTTCTTACTATGTGGGGGTCTGTTTTGTTATGCCTACATTTCTGGGGCCTGACCTGGTCGATGACAGACATGGAATGCCCCCAAGTACAAGGGGGTTTCCATAAGTCATTGCTCCCTGTGCCTCTCTGAGGGGACCATGTTCTGGCTTGTGGTTCCCAGTAGGCTGAACTCCAATTGACTGATGCCCCAGACTAATATATCACACATCAGTCCAATAGCTCTAGGGACCCACCGGGGCTCGCCCAGAAAATGGTGTTTCATTACATTCAACTCTGATTTTGTTTTTAAATCAATATGAACTTTTCTACCTTTGAAAATGAGGTTTTGAAACTAGGATATTAAAAATACAGTAAGCTAGTGAAATTTGCCCATAGTATGGAAGATATTTGGGTATAAATGGTAACTCCTTAAATGTTGGTCTGGTCACATTTTGAATGCAACATTAGGGGAAACAGTTGGCACCTTGGAAAAGCCATTGAATACATTTACAACAAAATTCTGTGGTTCATTTCTATTATAAGTTTTACTTAAAAATAGGAAATGAGCAAATTTTCAGACTGCCAGATATCACACAATTCCATATATGATCTAAAACCATATACTGTAATCCATATTTTGGATGTGTGCTTGTATTGTGGCATTTCAGTACTAGAGAGAGCAGTCTATAATCTAAATGAACATTTATGTACTGAAATAATTTGTTACATGTACTGTATGATATATAACATGCTAGATTTTTAAGCAAGCATTTTATTTTTTGCAGATTCTGTAACACTATATATTTATGTGCATATGATACCCCAGAGAAGCACACCCGACGAGAGAATGAGACGGACGTGCAGAAGCAGATGTCTTCTTGGGGATACAAATTTGAACAATATATGACTGATGGTAAGTTAATGTAATTTTTATTTGTAAATATGAGTAATTAATATACGGTGTAACTCTGAAAATTTGGACTAAATCCAACATTTAAATCATTTGAATTAAAATAGATTTTAGGGGGGAACCCCTTTGTGGCTCCCTGAATTGTGGCATACTCCCTGACACTATCTGTTAGAGTGTGCCATGCTACAAGGTCCCAATAGTTGCAGAGTTCTATGGCCTGCCGGAGACCAAGAGCCAGAACCTGGCCTGCACACAGAGGCACAAGGAGCAGTGACACCTACATATTAAGTTCGTTTATGCCACCACCAAAAAAGGCACCCAGAAAGTCAGTGAAACTCGACAAACCATTACTAAATGGTCCATGAATTCCTGATCAAAATATGCCATAAAATAGTCAATTTCAGCCATATCATCACCTGTATAAGGGAATAACGGTGTCACACCAACATCAGTACCATCAAATGTTTGAATTTGTGGGACAAAAGTCTCACAATCCTCCCACACAAGTACACCAGAGGTTTTGGTTTTGGCCCCAACACCACGGCCAACATCACCACGAGCACCAAAAATACTGTTCTGTCGTCTTGTGCTAGAGCTGCGTATAGGTACTGGTATGTCAGGAGATGAGATTGTTCTACATAGTGTAGGCCTACCACAAACACCTGATGTCGAGGGAACATTGTTGTCTTTATCCTCAAGCTGCATGACACGCTGCCGCTTGCCTCGGCGTGTTGCTGGGGCAGCAAAGCCCCTCCTAGTACAGTAACACAATCACTGCGCGTACTCGGTTCGTCAACACTGCTTGTATCGGAGTCTGTCACTGAAGACGGAGAATGATTCATCACATGTACTATCACTAAATAAACTAAATAAGTCCACCTCAAAATGGACGGAGAGAAAAATGTAGGAGTTGATATCACACCAAACCTGTCTCCTGGAGCCCACATCAAAAGAATATCAGCAGCGTATGCAAGGCTGGCTAGCATTATCTAAAAAAATTGTCTCTAGAAATATGTATAAGGAATCATTCAGAATCTTGTATACCATTTATGTAAGACCAATCCAGGAATATGCTGCCCCAGCATCGAGTCCATATCTTGTCAAGTGCAAAATTAAACTGGAGAAAGTTCACCGGTATGCCACTAGACTAGTCCCAGAACTGAGAGGTATGAGTTACAAGGAAAGGCTGTGTGAACTGCATCTCGCTTCACTGGAGAAAACAAGAGCTTAGGAACATGCTCACTACATAAAAAAATTTCAGGGGAATTGACAGGGTAGATAAGAATGGATTATTTAATATGGGTGGTACTCATACGAGGGGGGACAGGTTGAAGCTGAGTAAATGAGCTACAGACACATTAGAAGAAATTTTCGGTGTCAGTGTAGTTAATAAATGGAATGCATTAGGAAGTGATGAGGTGGAGGCTGACTCCATATAGAGTTTCAAATGTAGATCTGATAGATCTCAATAAACTCAGGAACCTTTACACCAATAGATTGACAGTTGAGGGGTGGGATCAAAGAGCCAAAACTCAACCCACTGCAAGCACAATTATGCGAGTACAGTATAATAACCTATTCCACACACACACACACACACATATAGATTTTGCAAATGGCACACTTGAACAAAATTACTGCCAAAAAACAGTGAAAATCAAATCCCCAAAATTGAAATATTAGTACTGGTACATATGTAAATGTGTTTGCTGCAACTCCCACTCTTCACCTGGCCCAGGGTGATTGCTTCGTGAATGCTTGTAAATCATGACATCGCAAGATTTCCTCTCTCTCTCTACCATGGCCAAAGTAAGTGGTATAAATATTTTTTGACAATTTTATCATGATTGTGGAATACATTTTAACAATATTAGAAGGAAACAAAATTTGTATTTTTTTTTATCTCACGCTCCAGGATGTTGTCTCATATATGAAAATGGGGTTTCAGCCCCAGTGTTAATGTCATTGATTACAGTATTATAATTATTGTTTGTATTATTATTATTTTATTATTATTATTGAGTATTATTATAATCATTATTATACTTATTATTACTGTATTATTATAATTATTATTCACAGAAAATCACACTAACATTATATATATCAACGACAAAATCTACTAGGACTCTAAGGGGGGACACACCCACAACCAAGGCAATGCCAGCCACATGCTCTAATTTTTACTGAAATTACAGGAGGTTAGGATACACAATGGAAATGTGTATCTGAAGTTGGGGCATACAGTGTTGAACTACTTGGCCCTCGTATATATGTTTTATGTATGACACTCGAATGCTTTGGGGTCATACATAAAACTTGGACTGACTTCAGGTGAGGCCTCTAGATTTCCTGTGATTTCAGTAGAAATCCGATTGTTTGACTTTTACCGGGTCAGTGGTGGCACAGTTGTAGAGTATGTGGCTGGCAGTGCCTTGGTCACGGGTTCACATCACATCAGCCCCAGAAGATTTTATTATTATTATTATTATTATTATTATTATTATTATTATTATTATTATGAAATTGTGTACAGGATTACAAGTCAAAATTTTATATTGTATATTAATTACCTAAGTGTAGTTACAGGATGAGAGCTATACTCATGGTGTCCCGTCTTCCCAGCACTCTTTGTCGTACAACAATGGGACGGAAACAATGTCGTACAACAATGGGACGGAAACCAGCAGATACGTTTCAAAGGATTCTCACCACAAGACATAATGAAAGTAGGTTTTCTTGGCAGGTTAGAGATTATTGAGAACATGCTAAAGAAGTATGATGAAAAAGTAATTGAATTAGAACAAGAAAATGAAGTTCTCTGAAGGGAGTTTTGCAATTTAAAAGGAAGCATTCACCAGCAAGGTAAGAAAATTACCTACTTAACCGATAAGGTAAAGAGACAGGAGGAACAAATCAAGGAACTAGTGAAAGGAAATGAGGTATGGAAAGTGAAGACTGGTGAATTTGAAGAAATTAACAAGAAAATACTCATATAGTAAACAAATCATAATAATCCTACAGGCTAACATGGAGTTAGGCAAGGATAGGCTAAAAGGAACTTCATTGACAACTCGAATAGAGGATGTTAATAAAGAACTAGAAAAGTGCAGAGAGGAAATAAGAGAGACATGCTTAAGTTGTAAAAAAAAAAAGATAAAAACGATCAAGGAAGTGTGTGTGGAAGTCAAAACCAGAAATGACCAACACGAAGCAGAAATTAGACAAGCAGTTAGGAAAGAACTGGTTACCAACAGTAAATTAGTGCAAAACACTGCAGATAGAAGTAAGTTCACAAAAATTTTTGGGTGTTTAGAAAAGGAAATATCATAAAGGGTAGATAGAGGAGCAGAAGAGATGAAAATTGTTGAAAAAATAGTAGGTTTAGGAGAAGGCCTCACTTCAAAGATAAATGTCAATGATTTTAGGAGGATATGGCAATATGAGAAAGACAAGAATCGCCCCTTAAGGGTGCCATTTATTGGAGTGAAACTAATGGCGGAAGTGCTTGCCCAAAACGTTGTGGGTATTAGTGGCTTTAGGCATAGTATGTATTAGCTCTATCTAGATATACAGTATTCTGTTTGTAACTCATTTTGAATGTATGTACTTTTACCAATAAACATAAACATTGAATAAATAAACAATAAACATTGTTGTTTGTTTTGCTTAGAAAAGCCAGGAAATTGCAGTGTGATAAAGATGAGAAACTTCGGTCATTAAGACCTCAAAGGAAGACAAGATAAAACCTATAACTAAACCTCAATGAAGTAAAATGTCTAAATAGGAATAGAAATATTGGGATCGTCTCAAAGCCCTCCAAATGTACTCACTAGAAAGAAGACGAGAGAGATATCAAATAATATACACCTGGAAGATACTGGAGGGCCAAGTACCAAATCTACACAGAAAAATAACAACGTACTGGAGTGAACGATATGGAAGAAAATGTAGAATAGAACCAGTGAAGAGCAGAGGTGCCATAGGCACAATCAGAGAACACTGTATAAGCATCAGAGGTCCGCGGTTGTTCAACGTCCTCCCAGCAAGCATAAGAAATATTGCCGGAACAACCGTGGACATCTTCAAGAGGAAACTAGATTTATTCCTCCAAGGAGTGCCGTACCAACCGGGCTGTGGTGGGTATGTGGGCCTGCGGGCCGCTCCAAGCAACAGCCTAGTGGACCAAACTCTCACAAGTCAAGCCTGGCCTCGGGCCGGGCTTGGGGAGTAGAAGAACTCCCAGAACCCCATCAACCAGGTATCAACCAGGTAATGAAGAAGAGAGAAATTCATTTTTCTTCATAGTGATAGGGACTGGAAAGTCAGTGAAATGGTACATAAAAACAAAGCAACAAAATCATTAGAGGAAGGTGGAGAGAAAATGTTCTTGAAAATTGTATATACTGTACCAACATAGATGGAATGAGACACAAAATACTGGAGCTAAAAGATATAATTCACCTTAAGGTCCTAGATATTGTCGCACTAACAGACGAAACTTGAAGATAATTTAATTAAGGTCGTATTCCCAAAAGCTGCTCAATTTGGAGACATGATAAGAAAATTAGGAAGGGTAAAGGTATAGCTATGCTGGTGAAAGGACATCTGAAGTTAAGAGTGTTAATAATCAACAGCACTCGAGAAGTTGCTATAATGGCATTGCAGGTTTGTAATCAGGATGATAAACTGATAATTGTAAATGCCTAAAGCCCACCAGCAAGCAACACATGGACAAAAGAAGAACTAGATGATAAACGAGAGGGCTTCATAATAGTCATGAGAGAGAGAGTATATAAAAGCAGATAAAGATAAATCATGATTGTTGGTAACTTGAAAGCAATAATAATAATAATAATAATAATAATAATCTTTATTTAGGTAAGGTACATACATAAAGAGATTTACAAAGTTTGTTGGCTTTATAGATAGAGCTAGTACATACAATGCCTAAATAGGCTGGGAGGCCTACGAAGCACGAGCGGAGGACATTTGGACAGGTAGATTTGTAAACCTCATTCTGGAGACAATCGTGTATCAACACGTCAAGCAGGCCACAACAATAACAGAAGAGGATGTTCCATCAGTACTGGATCTAATATTCACTAGAAAATAAGAAGAGATATTTGACATCCTGTACCTTCCCTTGGGAAAGCATTATCATGTTCTGTTGGCAATTAAATATGTTTTGCAATATAATCTAGATTAATGGAAACACTGAAACAATTGATGAACTCGATATCAAGAGAGAACACTATGGGGGAACAAAGAAAATTCTTTAATGAGTTTAATTGGACAGACTTGTTGCTAGGCAAGGATGTATGACAAATTTTGCAAAATATACGATGAAAGCATTAAAAAATTAATACCAAAACAGATGCAAAACCAGAAAGCAGGATAGGCTCAACAGAAATTGTGAGAGGACCAGAGTGGAAAAGCCAAGAAAATGGGGTACAATATAGGAAGAAGCCTAACCCTCAAACATACCGGCACTACAAACACGCAAGAAACTAATACACAGCAGTGAAGAGATAGGCAGAAAAGAACTTTGAGAAATGGGTTGCAGAAAAATGTAAAACAGAGCCAGGCCTTTTCTATAAATTCACTAAAAGCAAGCTGCATATAAAGGATAAAATCCAGAGATTGAGAATGTATGTAATATAGGTTTATGGAGAATGAACAAGAAATATGCGAAACACTAAATGAACAGTTCCAAAGTGTGTCTGTACGAAATGAGGTTTTCAGAGCCGGACCTAATGCCAATGCCAATTTCAGAGCACACCATAAAAGACATAGAGGTATCTTAAGATGAAGTGGAAAAATTACTCAAGGGGCTAGGTAGAAACAAAGCAGTTGGACCAGATGGAGTTTCACCTTAGGTTCTGCGAGAAAGTGCAAATGAGCTGGGCATTCCACTCCAATTACTATTCCAACCATCCTTGTGCACAGGAATCTTAGCAGATATATGGAAAAAGGCAAACATAATACCAATCTATACAAATTGTAGTCAAGAGGACCTCTAAATTATAGACCGGTATTATTAACATGTTTGGTAGTCAAAACACTAGAAACAGTAGTTAAAGCCAAATGGGTTGAACACCTATAGAGAGTAACAAAATAATAACGGATAGACAGTATTGTTTTCGAACAGGAAGACCTACTTAGTTTTTATGATAAGAGCCACGGAGATTATACAGGAAAGAGGTGGTTGTAGGTTGTGTCTATCTGGACTTAAAAAAGGCTTTTGACAAAGTCCCACACAAGAGGCTGTTCTGGAAACTGAAACATGCTAGAGGAGTGACAAGGAGACTTCTGACATGGATGAAAACATTTCTAACTGACAGGCAGATGAGGGCAGTAATCAGAGACAATGTATCTGCCTGGAGGAGTGTTGTTAGCAGAGTACTACAGGCTTCAGTTCTTGCACCAGTAATGTTCATCATCTGCATAAATAATCTACCAGAAGGAATACAGAATTATATGAACATGTTTGTGGATGATGCTAAGATACTGTTGAAGATAGGAGATGCAGATGATTGTAATGCCCTTCAAATTAATCTTAGATGAAATAAGTGCTTGGAATGTCAAGTGACAAATGGAATTCAATGTGAATAAATGCCATGTTATGGACTGTGAAATTAGAGAAAATAGACCACACACAACTTACAAATCATGTGGAAAGAAATTACAGAACTCTAATAAAGGTGCAAAGGCATGCTACAAAATGACTTTCGGAATTGAAAAACAAGAGTTACGAGGAGAGACTCGAGGCGTTAAACATGTCAAAACTAGAAGATAGAAGAAAAAGAGGTGATATGATTACCATTTACAAGATAATAACAGGAATCAACCAAATTGACAAAGAGGAATTCCTGAAACCAGTAACATCACAAACAAAAGGACACAGATTCAAGCTAAGGAAACAAAGGTGCTGAAAAACATTAGAAAGTTTTCTTTTGCAAACAGAGTGGTAGATGGTTGGAACAAGCTAAGTGTGGTGGCAAAGGCCAAAACCCCCAGTAGTTTCAAGGCGTAATACGACAAAGAGTACTGGGAAGACGGAACACAACGAGCGTAGCTCTCATCCTGTAACTACACTTGGGTAATTACAGCCACACACACACATGACAATATTAAAAATGGGTCATTATAATTATAGGAAGTAACCTATCAGGAGGAGTAAATGAAAATGAAGAGTACTGCTGCGTGGTACGATCACGTTTGGACAATCACTCTCTTGTGTATGGAGCAGAAGTGGATGGAGCTGATCCCTCCCAATATAAAACACCTCATGCTGACCTTAGAGCTTTTATAGAGCTTAAAACTAGTAAAGAAATCATAGCAGACAAAGATTATCGCAATCTATACAGGTAAGACAAGCTAAGTGTACTGAGGAAGCTGGTAAAAGGATACAATATGATACACTACTGTATATTTAAACATATTTGTGTTAGAGCCCTCATATAGCAGTCAAAACTGTGTTGTGTGTGAAGTTTGCCGTTTTCTAACAAAAATTATTGTACAGTATTTCGTAATGCTAATGACTAATCACTGACATAATAACACAGGATAAAATCTCACACTTATGTACAGGTATTTTTTTTATATTTTATGTAAAGATTTGAACTACACTAAGTCTTTTTCACTCTCTTGAGTATATTATCAAGATCTGAGTATATGGCTTGGACAAGAGTTACATCATAACGACTAATATAGTTGCTACCTAGGATTGAGTCCTCTTATTCTTCTTCAACTTCTGATCATGTCAACTCAATTCCCAACTGCTGGTGTTCCTGAGGGGATTTCTTTTAGGTAATTGTGATCAGTTGTCCTTTCTCTGTCTTCCTGGAATTCTGAGAACTGGAGTTGTTGTTAATAAAGGTATCTGTCCAGATAATATTCCTTGTAACTCACTCCATACCCAAAGGAGAACATCTTTTGGGACTACAGTATTTAGATTCATCCATTTGTTCAAATCTAATTTTAATTGATTGACATCGATTAATTAATTAATCCACATCGAAATCCTTTTTACGTCACCCATCGCTTGGTTCACGTCTTGCTCCAAGACCGGCCACCCGCAATGCCCAGGACTTTCTAATCTATTACACCCAAAAATATTCTTTGGCCATTAAAATCAACTTTCTGGCACTTTAACAGAATTCTCTCTTACATGTCTATTCCATTCTATGTTAAATCTTTGCAATGATTCTTTGCAATCATTGTTCCCTAGCTCACTCCCTCTTTCGATGTCATTAATTTGTCTCCCTGTTAGTTAACACAAAGTCTAAAATATTATTTTCCCGCGTTGGTTCCTTAACCAACTTAACTGCCCCGCCTCCAAATATGACACCCACCACTGTGCAGGAAGTAAATTCTCTTGAATTTTTTTTTATTATTTTTTTTTTGAAGTGTCAAAAACCCTTTCCTCAGTATGGGTATGTAAAAAAAAAATTGAAATTGTGTTTACTTTGGTTGCTATGGGGTCCTTAAATTGGCACATGACGTCATCATTCCCCATTCGCCCGTGACGTACGCTCCCGGGGCCAGTTGGGCACCCGGGGCGGGGCGCGCGAGTTGCCGCAAATATATTTATGTTAATTTTTTGCACACAGTTCCAAATACATTTTATTTGTTTTTGCGTGCTAATCCTATGTATAATGAACACGTACACTATATTATGGCAGTAAAACATCTGTACTGTCAGAAGACACTGTGTTATGTGCATGACATTTGTGTACACATATGTTGCACATATTTACCATGTATCATGCTAATTTATGTATATATACAATCTATTTACACACTATAGCAGTCTCCGTGGTGTAGTGGTAAGACACTCGCCTGGCGTTCCGCGAGCGCTATGTCATGGGTTCGTATCCTGGCCGGGGAGGATTTACTGGGCGCAATTCCTTAACTGTAGCCTCTGTTTAACGCAACAGTAAAATGTGTACTTGGATGAAAAAACGATTCTTCGCGGCAGGGGATCGTATTCCAGGGACCATAGGATTAAGGACTTGCCCGAAACGCTACGCGTACTAGTGGCTGTACAAGAATGTAACAACTCTATGTAACAACTATACACTGTTACACACTATATACATTCACCATCAACACATTCAGAACACCGCAAGTGTGAGCAGCCACATCCAGCCAGCCCTCCCTCACTCCTCCAACAGTGCTCCTCTCCTCCCATCATGCAGTTATTCACACCAATGTTTCATGTTCATTTATGTATATTTACAACATATGTACACACTATACACTGTCACACACTACATACATTCACCATCAACACATTCAGAACATCGCGAGTGTAAGCAGCCACACCCAGCCAGCCCTCCCTCACTCCTCCAACATTGTATTCGCCAACATTGCTCCTCCCATCATACAGTAATTCACACCAATGTTTCATGTTCATTTATGTATATTTGCAACATATGTACACACTATACACTGTCACACACTATATACATTCACCATCAACACATTCAGAACACCAAGTGTGAGCAGCCACACCCAGCCAGCCCTCCCTCACTCCAACATCTTACTCGCCATCATTGCTCCTCCCACCATACTGTTATTGCTTTTATTACACTATTTACACATGCTATATATACTTATCTACATGTTTTATTTACCAGAACTATGCGAGTAAGCCGGTATTGTGTCCAAACAGTACAGTGGCCACCATACACTGCATGAGAAATCACACAGCAGACAGCAGACGATGCTACGTTTACAACGTCACCTCCCTCACCTGTTGTTGTTATTACACTATATACACACACACACTGTATATACCCATGTACATATGTGTTCCCATAGCAAATCACGAAGCTAGTATGGTGAGCAAAACAAGAGTGGCTGCCACAGTGAGGCTATCTCAATTCTCTCCCTTCCTCACCAAAATTCCTCCTTCCACAATTCTATGCACAATGCTAATTATAACCACAATCCTGGTCACTAATTCCTGTAAATGAATAATTGACCACAAGTTTATTTTGAAAAGGAACCTATGAAGTGGTTTGAAGATTTCTAGATGGACGGAATAATACTGTGGTGCTGTGGCTAGCGTTGTGAACATTGTGAACAGCATTGAATCACTGATATTTGAACATTGTACCCAGTCATTATCACACTCAGACTCTTCTATAATACTATCATGGCTAAATAATACAGGTTATATATATATTTTGACATTAGGCGATGCTGTGGTCACACGCTGAACAGCAGTGCTGTGTGCTCATGCTGCGAGCTCCAGCCTAGGTTGCTCACTCACTACTGAGGCTCTCACACCCGGGAATGTGGACCACGATTTTTTTTAAAGATGGAGTCTGTTTACAAAAGCCCTGAGGAAGCTGATGTGAACCCCATGTAGCCACGGGAGTTTTGAATGGAACGTGAAAAATACAAATACCCAGAGGCGCGTAGCGCACCCCTGACGTGGGCCTGCAGGCGCATTGCACAGTTAAAGGGTTAATGTGTTGCGTAAGAAAGCAATCGCCAATTAATTCTATAAAATCTTCTGCTTCGTTATTCCCTGTTCTGTGAAGCCAATTTATTCCACTAAAATTAAAGTCACCTATGACACAAATACTTTTAGACCTAGATGCTCTAGATATTTCATCCCATAGATGCTTTGCTTCCATTCTAAGTTTGGTGGCCTGTATATAAATCCTATAATAGGATTTTTAGCCTTTTTGTTTAACCCCTGCACTGCGCACCTATTTTTGTCAAATATTTCATGATGTAGTTGTTAAGGACATATTTGTTGTTTTTATAAATGTTCAGCTAATGTTAATGTCAAAATGTTTCCAAATTCAATAATTTTAATTTCAAATCACAAAGAGCGATGAAAACATTAAAACCCCTTAAAATATGACCTAATTAAAAAAAATCACACAACTCTCAGAGTGCCTTAAGGTGTTTTGCACAGTGCAGTGGTTAATTCTAACCAAATAGTTTGTGTGTGGTTCAGTTTTGAATCTTTCTTTGACACTACATTTAAAATATTCTTTGGCATATATTTCTACTCCCCTTCCATGCCTCATGTGTGTATCAGTATGAAAAAATTTATATCCCTTAATTTCATGCTCGGCTAATAGTTGCCTGTTTATTCGTCCATGTTTGTTAGTGCAATAATATCGAGTTTGTGTTCACAAGTGCAATTAAATCATCTACTTTGTTTCTTGGACTCCTGCTATCCTGTATCCACCCCCCTCCCCTTCCATGTTACTTTTACCCACACTATTTTTATTCACTCCCAAACCTTTCCTTGTCTCCTTTTGTCAGATACATTCCCATACGTCTATCATCTAATACTGCAGTTTAAACACAGACAAGCCCCATCAACTGCAGATTTCAATGAAGTAATATTTACTTTGTTGATAATTAACTGTATGTTCAACATGAGAATGCCAGTATAGCACACACCACTATAAATACTTTAAATAATGTATTAACATTAATTACTGTAAATTCACACTTAAATATTTTTGCATGTTATTTTTTCCTTGTACTACAGAGAACTTTATTATATATCATTATCATCAGGTATAAGTTCATGAAATGGTGGAGTCAATCAAGTCTAGTTGGAATACCAAGAGTTGTATGCGGTTTTCGAGATGCAAAAGGCACAGTTCACACGCTGGAGACATACAATGTTGAAGACATGCCATTCAGAGGACAGGTAAGGAGAGAGTGCATGATTTCTACTAAATGTGGGGATCCGCATCATCCTGTTCCAGATTGTGTATTGTTAATGTATATGTATCTGTAACTGATGTGGGGATCCTCATGTACATGGCCCAGCTCCAGATCCTGTCTTTTGTAGTTACGGATGGATAAATTGTTAACATTCTTACATGGTAAAATAAGTCAATTACTGAACAAATTGTCACTTTTTAATCTTGATTTAAAACATTATATGAGCTGGAGGTTCCCAAAAATATCTGATACAGTGGTACTGTACCTCCATTTACGAATTTAATCTGTTCCCAAAGACGGATTGTAACTCAAAAATTCGTAACTCGAAACAAATTTTCTCATAAGAAATAATGTAAATTGAATTAATCCGTTCCACATTCACAAAAATATTAACTTCAAAATACATTTCATACATAAAACACACACACATTTTGAACTATATTATGTACAAGTTATAGCTTACCTTTATTGATGACTTGTTGGCAGGTGGAAGACAGTGAGGAGGGGGAGAGAGGGAAGAGAGGTGTTACTGTTTGGAATGGGAGTCCCCTTCCATTATGACATCAGGCAGTGATGACTTCTCAGGGATACTCTCTCTCGTACGTTTTGCAGGCATACCACTAGGACCTGGTTGTGCCTCACTGCTTGTTTGTCTCAGTAAAACCCTCTCCATAGAGACTTGTTCTTTAGTCTTTTGGAGCTGTCATTGGATTAGCTTTTAGAGGATGTGGGAGCACAGGGTGGGGGTTCTCGGCTGGGGTCTTGGTCTTGGCTGTTTCTGCGTTGTCTGCCTTGCTGATGCTGTTTGGGCCGATCCTCCAGGAAGTGGTTTTTCCTAGTTTTCACCTCTGGCCTCGTGTGTAAACAGGCTGTATTGGCTCTGTCATTGGCTTCAGCTTGTGCCCTGGCTCCGCAGTGTTTTCACCGTTTTGTCCCCTATTGTTCCTGGAAGACTGTGTTGTTTCTGTAAGTGGCTTCTGCTTGTTGCCAGCCTATTTCAGACTTGTTGGTTCTTGGAGGGGGGGGGGGGGGGAAATGCTCCTGGCCCTTCCTGAATGGTTGTGCCCAGGCTCGGGCCTCATTCGGTCTGGGTATGCCAATGTTGCCAATTTGAGTCTGTGAGTTCCCCGATGCCTTCTCCATCTGGTTGATGCGGTGTTCGCGCAGTACAAAGGTCGGCATCTCGGGGTTCGTGTCAGCCCTTTCGCGGGATGCCACTTTATCAGGGTGATGGAGGAAAGGCTCACACTTTTGCCAATGCCTGGTCCTGTGACTTGTGGGCATTTTGGGTCGTTCTTGAAGCCTTTGGTGGCATTGGGCGCTTTAGAGGAGTTGGGTCTGGGGAGCAGACCTCCTCCCCCTCCATTTGTCAGATCATCTTGGAGTGGGTTCATCCCTCCTTTCGGATGGCCCCATTGTCCCAGGTCCGCTTCATTCTCGATCCGGGTTGCTGGGATGCTTCCCTGGATCTCAGTATTGGCCCATTCCTATCCATCTGGGTTTGAGGCTTGGTTCGGTTTTGTTGCAGGGCAACATGCTTACCCCTTCGGTTGTCCCCTTCGTGTTAATTTGGCACCTTGCATTTTTACGCATTTGACTCGAGTTGTAGTGATACATCTTCGTCAGGTCTTGGCCTACCTCGATGACTGGTTGGTGTGGGCTCTCAGCCAGTCTGCTTATCTGCTAGTCAGGAATCTGGCTCTTTCCCAGCCTGCCAGCTTTGGGTTCCTGGTGCACTGGTGAAAGTCCCAGTTGATCTCATCTCGGATTTGGACTTGGCTGGGCCTTGTGTTATTGGAGAGAAAGGGACTGCGTCCCTTTCTCTCCCTCCCGTGGCCTTGCTCTGGTTGCAACCAGAGTAAGGTTCCCGCCATCGGCTGTTTTTGGTGGGGGACTTGGATCACTGTGCAATTGCTTGTGCAGTTGTGCGAGAGCCTGAATTTTGCTTTTCTGGCTTATCCACTGGGGAGAGTTTGGCTTCGGAGGCTGTTCTGGTATCTAAGTGGAAGCCGCTTCCTCCGCTATCGCAATTGCTGGGTTCGACCCTCGGTGTCCCTGGGCCAGTTGCTGCAACACCGGCTTCCTCTTCAGGCTTTCGGGGTTTGGTGCCATGGTGCCTTCCTCCTCTCGTGCTTGATGTGTTCACGTACACCTTGTCTATCGGCTGGAGCTTTGTGACCAGTGTTCACCAGTTTAACTGGGGATACTGGCAGCTGTCCTTGTGCCGGGTTCCCTACATGATGCGGGAGTTGGGTGTGTGGGGCTGGCGCTGCGGAGGATTCGACTTCCCCGGGGCTCAGTGATCCGGCTTCACTTGGACTGCTTCCCTGTGGTAACTTGTCTCAACTGGGGAAGGGGGGGTCACTTCAGTCCATGGCTCTTTGGAGTGGGTCGCTTCAGTCCGTGAATCTTTGGAACTGGTCGCTTCAGTCTATGGCTTTTTGTATATGGTCACTTCAGTCTGTGGCTCTTTGGAGATGGTTGCTTCAGTCCGTGGCTCTTTGTAGCTGGTCACTTTGGGTGGCTCTCCTGCCAAGTTCTCAGGGTTTAGCTATCCGTTCTGTTCACATTCAGGGAGTGTCTAGACTGTTCGGCCGGCCGACCATTCTTGCATGCATTTTCACCTCCGGCCTGTGTTTGCGCCAACTGAACCTTCTGGTCTTTGAAACTGGATCTTTCCTTTCTTCTTCACCTTGGTTTGTGGTGGTCTCTTCAGTTTGTACTTGTTTTTAGTAGGTAATTTTTTGGGTGAAGAATGAGGCTTCCGAAGAGACCTGTTGGTTATGGATGCTTAGTTGGTTCGGCCAGGGGTGTATCACGTGCTGTGCACAGTGGCGGCTTTATGCCACTTCCTGCAGATCACCAGTGTCGATGGCTGTGCTCTGGGTAGTTAGGGTTTCCCTGGTTTTCAGTTCCAGGGCTCGTGTGTCTCAGGTTGTCCGTGGTATCTTTAACCACCGTGCTGCGCGGAGTTTATTGTGAATTTCCCCTGGTGCGCATGAAATAAAGTGTTCCCAAAAAATTATTTTTTATTCATCAGGACCTGGTCGCCCGTGCGTGAATCACCCAGACACGGTCGCGCGGGTACATTCAAGCACCGGGTGTTGCCACGAATATATTTTCAATTATTTGTTTTATGTATTTCCAATGTGGTTTTATTTTTTTTTATCGTATATAATGCATATTTGTGTCCTTTACAATATGTATACAGTAGAATGTTCATAATGTTCCATGGAACCATGGAACGGTTCCATGGAACTGTCTTTGGCCCTCTGCTACTTTGTGCTGCTTTGGGGCGTCTGTAGCAGCTGGCTGTCTTTGTCAGGTTGCACTCCGTGGGGCTGCTGCCTCCCAGGTTCTTCCCTGTTTTCCTTCTCTGTGGGTAGTTAGCTTCAGGGAGCCTCCAGGGCTCCCCACAGAAAACCAGCATTGAAGGTAATAAAATGCCAGTTTCTGGGTGAGCCCCCAAAGGCTCCCTGACACCCCTCCCCCAAAAGGGATGTCAGGATAGTATATCATATACCCCCGTCTCCCCATATCATGGTTTGTGCAGTACAGAGGCATAGGGGTTTTGGGGGTCGAACAGAGCTCTGATGGTCCAGTATGTTGTCAATATGCCTGGGCCCGAGGCCACAAGGGGCTTTCTTCAGAAAATCAGCGGTGAATGTAATGAAACGTCACTTTCTGGATGGGCCCTGGTGGCTCCCTGACACACTCCCTCCAGGTCATTGGGGCATTTTCTCACAACTACCATAGAACTGAGGGCAGTGTCACCAGCTGACTGTGAGCTGCCTCCCTCTCCCTCCTTCCAAATGAAGGTGCTAGTTTTATATTGTTTCTATATTTTGTTTACATTGTTGGGGAGTTCTTTTGGCAGTTCATGAGGCTACAGTTTCTTCTACGTCCACCTGTGGATTTTGCCTTGCCAGGTGGTGGCATAAATAAATAAATAACAAGATGAAATACATGCTACTGCTCCCTGTACCTCTGTGAAGGGCCCAGGTTCTGGCTCTTGACCTGCAGTAGGTCATATTGAACTCCACGGCTGTTACGACCCAGTAGATGGTAGACTATCAGTAGCTTCAGGGAGTCTCTGGGCCTCGCCTGGAAAGTGGGATTTCATTACATTCAATGTTGGTCTTTTTCACACGCAACAAGGGTTAACCAATGATTTTTATTGAGTATTCAAATTTCAGTATTTGTTATACACAATTGAATTTAACAGTAAAAATTTTTCAACAGGACTACTGGAAGCCAAATATAATGCTGAACTTTCTCAAGAAATTCTTGGATTTTGTTAAATACTCTGTGCATGAAGATAATCCCAAAGCAGTGTATAAGTTTGAGAGAGAGAGTAATGGAGGCAACATAACTTGTACATATTTAGGCTTTGACCCTGAATGGACATTTTTACCAGCCTGGTTTTATGAGAAAGTCTTTCGTGATGACCAAAAGGTGAAAACAGTGACAGGGAGTGAACATAATTGAAAGAGAGTCTCTGATTAAAGTTTTTTGGCAATGGACTGCCTATTCAGAGTGAAGAGTGAGAGAAAGTGATACAGGTTAAAATGATTAACTTCAACATTTTTCTATAGCCTGGAATGTAAAGGTTTATTGTATTACAGTAGTGTTTTTCTCACACTAGTATTGCACTAGTATCTCATTATATAGCTCGAAGTTGATACGTTCTCATAGTGATTTCATTTGCTGCATCAAATTCCACTCAACCTCTCCCTCCCAGTAAAAATATCAGCAGGTCTACAACCACAATAATGCATATAAAGGTTTGTGACTTACCTTACCACTTCAAAATAGTAGTGAGGGTGAAATATCTAATAATAACTGAGAAACACATTTAGATACGTACAAATTCATCATAATCCATCTTCAAAACTATTTAAAACAAAAAATAGAAAAGTCATTTTATTCTGTATTTATCATTTTGATCATATTATAACTATGAATAACCATATGACAATTCAGTCTAGCTAATTTTGCCTCAAAAGCCACTAACTTTGACAAGCAGGACAACTCCATGATTCACGATAAATATTATGCTCTTATTTTTATTTTTTTTTTATATATATTATGTCCCCAAAATATTTGTTTGTGAGGATTTTTGGTGGTCTGGGAACACATCTCCCATTTATAGCATTGACCATATGGAAAATCTCTCTCCACACTTATAGCATTGACCATATGGAAAGTCTCTCTCCACACTTATAGCATTGACCATATGGAAAATCTCTCTCTACATTTTGAACAACTGCTTTATGAACACATTCTCAGAATGTAACTTGTTCATATTAAGGGAACTGTCTGTACTCATACATGCACAGTTATTGTTGAAACCAAAAATGTAAAATGATTAATAACTTTCTCACCATGCTGCAATGTCAGTGTGGGAGTCAATGTGATTGACTCCCACCCTCCATCACCCCAACACCCTGCAATATGCTGACATGCTCTCTTACCTCATGATGCCAGGGGCTTGTACCACACTCATATGTTGTCAATTTCAGTCTAATACCTTACCACTACAAAAAAGTAGTGAAGTGAAATATCTTATAATAACTGTGAAACACATTTAGGCATGTACAGATTCATCATAATCCATCTTCAAAACTATTTAAAACAAAAAATAGAAAAGTCATTTTATTATGTATTTATCATTTTGACCATGGTATATGTTAGATCAATCATTGGTGAACAATGATTCAGGGTGTTCAAGGTGTTACTTGAAGGTTGAGTTATAGCATGTCGTGGAGAGGGTTGCTGAGTGGTTGCTGCAACTACAGCTGGAATAGAAGGTTCGGTGGGCGTATCTGTGGTTCCTTGATGTAATGCATCTAATTTACAGTGCATTTAATGCAGTAATTAACAATAACCCAGAGACTAAGCCAGCCATTCAACCAGCATTGGTATTAGAATTTGAGTATTGATATATGGCTTGAAAGCATTTTTATATCTTGTTGGGTAATTTTGTGTATATTTCGAGTTGTCTAAATATAATACTTGTATAATAAATTCTCATTTTAATATTTTTGCTTTTGTTTACATTCCATTGTTTCAAAGACCTTAGGGCAGGTAAGCAGGGAGTGGAAGAACGGGGTGAGTATGCAGAAATCTTGAGCGAAGAATTGGAGACTAGGCGAAGAGAGGAGATAAAGATCGGTGACCCAACCATTGTGGATTTGAACTTGAGTAGATTGCAGTAGAGTTGAGTGGGGTATCATTTGTAGAACACACAGGGGCTGGGCTCGCAAGCAGCTGGCAGTTGATGGCAGCTGAAAGAAGTTGATGGTTGCTGGTAGTAGTTCTTCATTCTTGGGTCTTCATTCTTCAATCGCTGTTCTTCACACTACATTGCTCCTCCCATCCTTTCCTCCTCCTTCCTGTAGTTTTCAGCAAAATTGAATCACTGTTTTTCTTGGGTTTCGCGGAAGTCGTGCCTGTCCTACTTCTCGTTGACATTGCTGTGCTGTCATTTGAAGTTGTAGATGTGGTGTCCAGTAGGAAATCATCAGGTGTATAATGAACCTTCCACCGAGGAGGGGATGGTGTTTCCACTGAGGCATCTTCATCTGATGAATCAGTTGAATCAAAAGCTGAGGCGGTGTTAATTGAAGCTTGAGTAGTAGCATGTCATGGAGAAGGTGGCCGAGTGGTTGCTGCAACTACAGCTGGAGTAGAAGGTTTGGTGGGCGTATCTGTGATTCCTTGAACGTCGATAGTAATCTTCGTGGAAGTGGTAGGAACAGCTGGAGGGTCGTCTTCCTCTGCTGAGTCAGATGGAGGGTTAACAGCAGGTGTTACAGGCTGTGCAGCTGCCAAGGCAGTTATAATTGATGATGAAGGTGCCTGCTCTATAGGAAGCACTGTCTCAGGAACTCTGAAGGTTGTTAAGCCATTTGCAGCAAACAGCGCATTGAGAGTTGTGACAAACTATTGTCAGCCCCAGCAATCCTCTCAGTAAGGTGCAGCAGAGAAGGTATCATACCAGTGCCTGAAGTAGGATGAGACTGGGCTGCTGATTGGACGTTGGGTCCCCAATGAGGTAGCTGGGAGGTCCATGTCCGGGAGGCACCACCTGGCAGAACAGGAAAATCTTCTGATTTGTTACCCCTCGAAGGTAATGTTGTGTAAATTGTGTAAATTACCCCTTGCCCCCCTCGAAGATCAGAGGTGCTATAGGCACAATCAGAGAACACTGTATAAACATCAGAGGTCCACAGTTGTTCAACACCCTCCCAGCGAGCATAAGAAATATTGCCGGAACAACCGTGGACATCTTCAAGAGGAAACTAGATTTATTCCTCCAAGGAGTGCCGGACCAACCAGGCTGTGGTGGGTATATGGGCCTGCAGGCCGCTCCAAGCAACAGCCTAGTGGACCAAACTCTCACAAGTCAAGCCTGGCCTCGGGCCGGGCTTGGGGAGTAGAAAAACTCCCAGAACCCCATCAACCAGGTATCAACCAGGTATCAACCAGGTTGATGGGTCCTGCAGGGGGGTTGGGGCAAAATATGACCCATCGTCGTTTTCAGTAATTGGCATATTTTCGGTATGAAACGTCGTAATTTGAAACTGAAAATAGGTGCAGAGAGTCAGAATTCGGCACAAATATCACGCTCAGGAATCAAATTTCCGACATTTCAGACATTTTGAAAACTGCAGGGGGGTTGGGGCAAAATATGACCCATCACCGTTTTCAGTAATTGGCATATTTTCGGTATAAAAAGTCGTAATTTGAAACTGAAAATAGGTGCAGAGAGTCAGAATTTGGATAAAAAATCACGCTCAGGAGTCAAATTTCCGACATTTCAGACATTTTGAAAACTGCAGGGGGGTTTGGGCAAAATATGACCCATCGCCGTTTACAGTAATTGGCATATTTTCGGTATGAAACGTCGTAATTTTAAACTGAAAATAGGTGCAGAGAGTCAGAATTCGGCTCAAAAATCACGCTCAGGAGTCAAATTTCCGACATTTCAGACATTTTGAAAACTGCAGGGGAGTTTGGGCAAATATGACCCATCGCCGTTTTCAGTAATTGGCATATTTTCGGTATAAAAAGTCGTAATTTGAAACTGAAAATAGGTGCAGAGAGTCAGAATTCGGATAAAAAATCACGCTCAGGAGTCAAATTTCCGACATTTCAGACATTTTGAAATCTGCAGGGGGGTTTGGGCAAAATATGACCCATCTCCGTTTACAGTAATTGGCATATTTTCGGTATGAAACTTCGTAATTTGAAACTGAAAATAGGAGCAAAGAGTCAGAATTCGGCTCAAAAATCACGCTCAGGAGTCAAATTTCCGACATTTCAGACATTTTGAAAACTGCAGGGGGTTTGGGCAAAATATGACCCATCGCCGTTTTCAGTATTTGGCATATTTTCGGTATAAAAAGTCGTAATTTGAAACTGAAAATAGGTGCAGAGAGTCAGCATTCGGCTAAAAAATCACGCTCAGGAGTCAAATTTCCGACATTACAGACATTTTGAAAACTGCAGGGGGGTTTGGGCAAAATATGACCCATCGCCGTTTTCAGTAATTGGCATATTTTCGGTAAAAAAGTCGTAATTTGAAACTGAAAATAGGTGCAGAGAGTCAGAATTCGGATGAAAAATCACGCTCAGGAGTCAAATTTCCGACATTTCAGACATTTTGAAAACTGCAGGGGGGTTTGGGCAAAATATGACCCATCGCCGTTTTCAGTAATTGGCATATTTTCGGTAAAAAAAGTCGTAATTTGAAACTGAAAATAGGTGCAGAGAGTCAGAATTCGGATGAAAAATCACGCTCAGGAGTCAAAATTCCGACATTTCAGACATTTTGAAAACTGCAGGGGGGTTTGGGCAAAATATGACCCATCGCCGTTTACAGTAATTGGCATATTTTCGGTATGAAACGTCGTAATTTGAAACTGAAAATAGGGGCAGAGAGTCAGAATTCGGCTCAAAAATCACGCTCAGGAGTCAAATTTCCGACATTTCAGACATTTTGAAAACTGCAGGGGGGTTTGGGCAAAATATGACCCATCGCCGTTTTCATTAATTGGCATATTTTCGGTATGAAACGTCGTAATTTGAAACTGAAAATAGGTGCAGAGAGTCAGAATTCAGCTCAAAAATCCCGCTCAGGAGTCAAATTTCCGACATTTCAGACATTTTGAAAACTGCAGGGGGAATGGGGCAAAATAAGACCCATCGCCGTTTTCAGTAATTGGCATATATTCGGTATAAAAAGTCGTAATTTGAAACTGAAAATAGGTGCGGAGAGTCAGAATTCGGATAAAAAATCACGCTCAGGAGTCAAATTTCAGACATTTCAGACATTTTGAAAACTGCAGGGGGTTTGGGCAAAATATGACCCATCGCTGTTTACAGTAATTGGCATATTTTCGGTATGAAACTTCGTAATTTTAAACTGAAAATAGGTGCAGAGAGTCAGAATTCGGATAAAAAATCACGCTCAGGAGTCAAATTTCCGACATTTCAGACATTTTGAAAACTGCAGGGGGGTTTGGGCAAAATATGACCCATCGCTGTTTACAGTAATTGGCATATTTTCGGTATGAAACGTCGTAATTTGAAACTGAAAATAGGTGCAGAGAGTCAGAATTCGGCTCAAAAATCACGCTCAGGAGTCAAATTTCCGACATTTCTGACATTTTGAAATCTGCAGGGGGGTTTGGGCAAAATATGGCCCATCGCCATTTTTAGTAATTGGCATATTTTCGGTATAAAAAGTCGTAATTTGAAACTGAAAATAGGTGCAGAGAGTCAGAATTCGGATAAAAAATCACGCTCAGGAGTCAAATTTCCGACATTTCAGACATTTTGAAAACTGCAGGGGGGTTTGGGTAAAATATGACCCATCGCCGTTTACAGTAATTGGCATATTTTCGGTATGAAACGTCGTAATTTGAAACTGAAAATAGGTGCAGAGAGTCAGAATTCGGCTCAAAAATTACGCTTAGGAGTCAAATTTCCGACATTTCAGACATTTTGAAAACTGCAGGGGGGTTTGGGCAAAATATGACCCGTGTCCGTTTTCAGTAATTGGCATATTTTCGGTATGAAAAGTCGTAATTTGAAACTGAAAATAGGTGCAGAGAGTCAGAATTCGGCTCAAAAATCACGCTCAGGAGTCAAATTTCCGACATTTCAGACATTTTGAAAACTGCAGGGGGGTTTGGGCAAAATATGACCCATCGCCGTTTTCAGTTATTGGCATATTTTCGGTATAAAAAGTCGTAATTTGAAACTTAAAATAGGTGCAGAGAGTCAGAATTCGGCTCAAAAATTACGCTCAGGAGTCAAATTTCCGACATTTCAGACATTTTGAAAACTTCAGGGGGGTTTGGGCAAAATATGACCCATCGCCGTTTTCAGTAATTGGCATATTTTCGGTATGAAACGTTGTAATTTGAAACTGAAAATAGGTGCAGAGAGTCAGAATTCGGCTCAAAAATTACGCTCAGGAGTCAAATTTCCGACATTTCAGACATTTTAAAAACTGCAGGGGGGTTTGGGCAAAATATGACCCGTGTCCGTTTTCAGTAATTGGCATATTTTCGGTATAAAAAGTCGTAATTTGAAACTTAAAATAGGTGCAGAGAGTCAGAATTCGGCTCAAAAATCATGCTCAGGAGTCAAATTTCCGACATTTCAGACATTTTGAAAACTTCAGGGGGGGTTTGGGCAAAATATGACCCCATCGCCGTTTTCAGTAATTGGCATATTTTCGGTATGAAACGTTGTAATTTGAAACTGAAAATAGGTGCAGAGAGTCAGAATTCGGCTAAAAAATCACGCTCAGGAGTCAAATTTCCGACATTTCAGACATTTTGAAAACTGCAGGGGGGTTTGGGCAAAATATGACCCATCGCCGTTGTCAGTAATTGGCATATTTTCGGTATGAAACGTCGTAATTTGAAACTGAAAATAGGTGCAGAGAGTCAGAATTCGGCTCAAAAATCAGGCTCAGGAGTCAAATTTCCGACATTTCAGACATTTTGAAATCTGCAGGGGGGTT